GTAAGGATGGTAAGGCTAAGTCCCATAAATGTTGGTGGTATGCCGCCATGGCGGCCACATAATTAGCAGCCCTCACAATTAGGGATGAAAAGGCATATGAATGTCGGCCAAATATGTCCATTTTCCTCCCATCCTTATTATTCGGGGACGCGGCTGATGCGGGCCGAAACTTAGACTGGGCGATGTCCACAATCAGGGAATTAGGGGCAGGATGCTTTACAGGGAAGTCCAGTTCAGATCCCTGAATCCGGTATAAATTTTCCGCCCGTCTGGACATTTGGGGGGTAGAACAAGGTTTGTCCCAAGGCTGTTTTAGGGTTCTTAGTAATGACGGAATGAACGCTAGACGCATGGGCAGGTTCTGGTCCTCATCTATGTCGCCATAAACCTTGTCGGGGACCATTTCAGGCGGCCTCTCGACAGGCAGCTCCAAGACAGAGGCTATTCTATGTATCAATTGGGAATAGCTTGGGAAATCGGCTGCCGGAGAAACCGGGTTTTTGTCGATAATGGCAGAGTCCGGGGTGTTATCATTGGGAGCAGATGCATCTGAAAATGAGTCTTCAGATGATGAATCGTCGGAATGGTCAGAGGGTAGGGTTGGGGGGAATGGGAGTTCCGGCGTGGGAAAAACGGGAGCCGGTATCTCTTTGCCCTTTTTCTTGGAGCGTTTCTTCTCCTTCGCTCCGGTATCGGTACCGTGCCCAGTACCATGTCCGGTATCGGGGTCGGGGTCGGTATCGAAGAAGTCCAATTGAAAGGAGTCAGAGTCAGAAGAAGCGTGGCGTCGTTTCTTTTTGCGTGGCTTCGACGGTACCGGATCGTGAGGACGCTTGCGTTTCGGGAGTGCAGCGTCGGTACCGGATGGTGCGGTACCGATGTCGGTACCGGGTGCCGTACGGTGCGGGATACTGCTCGATATCGGGACTGGAGGACGTGTCCGGTCAGAGGTAGTAGTCCGCGGCCTAGGCTTCTTTAGGGATGAGGGCTCTTCCGGTACCGGCCGACGCCTTTTCCTTCCGGTATCGGGAAATGACGGTACCGACGGGGCGTGCCGGTGTCCCTCTCTTCCGCACATTGTTATGCTGCAAGTATCCTAGGAGAAATTGCAAGTGAATCATGAAAATGTGTAGGTCATGAGCAAAACCATCCATCCATCCACAGGAGAGGCACAATCTAGTGCGATAGTCTTGCTCTTTCCCACTCAGTCTGTGATTTGTGTCCGGATAAGCCTGTCTATTAGATTTGATTTGTTATTCACTTCTGATTCAGAGATGGAAGCTGTCTGTTCTTTTTATGAGCTGTTGCCCTGGGCTTGTCTTCTTTGTCTTAAAGCACCTCAGTATAATGATTCATGCAAAAATACAGAACGATGGGGTCCTGTTTAAAGTGGAGTTAAATTTGGATTCTTGAGTATCATAAGAGTAAATGGGATTCCTGATGCCTCTAGTTTCAACTCAGGGGATAGGGGAGGAAGGATGCTTCAGCAACTTTTGGGGAACTTTAAACTTCATATTATCTTCTTGTGCTTGGAATGATCTCATCTCCAGGGCCTTGTCTAAAGTCTTACTTCTTCAGCAAAACTTTTTCCAGAGACATCCTTAGTTTTATGCCATTCCTGTTTAACTACACCAAAGAACATACGGAAAGCTCAAAGACTTGTCAGGTCAAAGATGGGAAATTTACCTCTCTTTTTTTCTTCTTCTCCACATCAGTTCTCAAACTCCTTGACACTGACCACTGATAGTTTCAATCTAAAAACTCAAAAACTTTCCAACCAATCTAGTCCTCATAACAGTTCTGCACAGGTAGGTCTTGATAAGTCTTCCCTGAAGCATGTGGGTCCCTCCCAGCCACTTACATTCTGGATAAATTACTTTGCATCTGGAGGCTCTATTTATGGCTAGTATTTTTTTACAAAGCCTCTTTGTCAAAAATACCTTGAACGTCAATAAGTCAATGGCTATTATCACCACATCTTGTCCCCTGTGAATTTAGCAAAGGTATTGTCTACACTGTGTGAAGAACTGCATTCTTTTGTCTATCCTGAATCTATTGCTGTTGTTGTCATATTGTCACTGGATAATTCTAATGGCATAAGAGAGAAAGAGTAAAATTACCCTTTGGTAATTACCCTGGCATGCTCTGGTCCATGGGGTCACGAAGAGTCAGACACGACTAAACAACAACAACAATCACCCTCTTAATACAATTCAGGCTTCAATAAACCTCAGTCACATCCCAACTCCTTGACGTCCTTTTCTTAATTATTCTATACTATCCCACCAAACTGCACCAGAGCACACACAGAGTTTTGACTCCAGTGCTCTGAAGATGCCAGCCACAGAGACTGATCAAACGTTAGGAAGAACAACCTCAAGAACACGGCCAAAGAGCCCGAAAAACCTACAAGAATCATTAGATCCTGGCCGTGAAAGCCTTTGAGAATAAATATTCTAAGCTCCATTTGCCTAATCTGTCCTGCTCATCCTTTTGTGTCAATGTGAATTGGAAACTATCTTGAAGGTGTTCTCCTCACATCTTCTCACATGTTTTGTACAGCACCCAGCATACTGTGATACTACTATATGCATATGGATTGAGTGTCTGAAGATTAGTTTCTTAGGATACCTATTTTAAAAGCAGGGTGATCTGTCTGTCTTTGAGTAGTCCCTTGCATGGGGAATCTCCAGAAAAAGAGACCAGGTGACCATTTAGGAAAGGATTGTTTTTAAAAGTCAAATGACTGTTGTGCTTTAGGAGGATGGTGTTTCTGTATCACCACCTCCTGTGCCCATGAATTTCTTGATTCTAAAAGAATAGGTTTTAGTTCACTGGCTGGCATTCTAATGGAGTTCACATAAGACTTCCTTAACATGCAGCCAAATGATAAAGTTCCAGGGCTCATCTTGGTATTGTGCAGTTAGGTACAGGACTGAGACAAGTCCCATCACTTGCAAATTAGCTGCAGCAGGTTCCACCAAGCTTACACAAAGTCTGGCTGTTGAGTTCAATGCTCCTGTTCTATTTATTGTGTGTTTTTATGTATTTATATTGTCCTTCTGCTGATATCCGCAGACCTCTGAATAACTAAAACCAACTTAAAGCTTGTTGTGGGTTTTTCGGGCTCTTTGGCTGTGTTCTGAAGGTTGTTCTTTCTGACGTTTCACCAGTCTCTGTGGCCGGCATCTTCATAAGACTGGAGTAGGAACTTTGTCCATGTTCTGTTGGTGTTTGTTGGAGAACTGAGTATTTATAACTGTGGGAAACAGCTTTTGTCTTTTTTCAGGAGATAGGGTGATCAGCATGTTTTTGTTGTGATGGGGGAGAAGGGAGAGGGAGAGATTATCTGTCACTGTGATTGATGGATGTTGTTAGCTGGTCTTTTGTGTGCAATGATCCCTGGCCCTTGTGGCTGTGTAAAGTTCCTTGGCCTTTTGCAGGTTGTATTTTTCAGAATGGGATGCCAAGCCCTGTTTAGTTTTAGGCTTTCTTCTTTCCTGTTGAAGTTCTGTTTATGTTTATGGATTTCAATGGCTTCTCTGTGCAGTCTAACGTATAGATTGCTGGCCACAGAGACTGGCGAAACGTCAGCAAGAACACTCTCAGAACAAGGCCACAGGGCCAGAAAAACCCACAACAACTATTAGATCCTGGCCGTGAAAGCCTTCGCGAATACATTCAACTTAAGGTTATTACAAAATAGGTTTTGTTTTTGCCTGTAAATTTATATTGTTAAAAATTGGAATGTTTTCTGTTTCTGCTGAAACTAGATTTCTCCTGAGCAAGGGAGTGACTAGATGGGAGGTTGTCCTTTGTTTACATGTTGTTTTCTGTACAAATCCTGGCACTTTGTACAGGCCAAAATTGTTATCATTTACACAAAAATACTTTGGGAGATGTGTTGCAAGTGACCAATCAGCAGAGGGTCAGATTAGGTACATTTTTATCTGTAGTATGTCACACTTCTCTACCATTGCCTTCTTCCTTTTCCCTGCTAGCCAACCCTTTCTCTTTTTTTGTTCAGTTTATGAAGTGACATAGCACTGAACTGATACAACAGTGTTGTTCTGAATTATTGTTGCAGGACTTAGTTGCCATAGAACTAAACCAGTGGCATAAACTTTTATTTAAAAAATGTGTTGGCCCTAGTGATTATGAACTTGAATTAAGTAATGTTGAATTATGACACTCCACTCCACTGAAGGTATCACCATCAATAGGATCAGGACATACTCTGCAACTGCTTCTCCCCCCCCCAAAAAAAAAACTATATAGATGAACACACAAGATAGAAAGTGAGACAAAACAATGGGATTAGAAAATAACAAATCTGCTAATCAAACAAAATGTATTTAAGTAATCATGGGAAAATAACAGGTCTACCCAAAATTAGTTTCTGTAGTGTAATAAGTAGAAAAACATTGAAATTGACGTTGAGAACTCCAGTAGAAATAGGACAAATTAATGTGTTGTAGTCAAAACTCTAAGTATCTATAGGATTATAGCCCGTTGCTGAAAGGTACAATACTACTGAAACATTCATATACATATCCCAGAGAAGGGGGTTCCACTGATAAGAATAAAGTCTTCTGCATCAGCAACATGAGGTATGTTTGTGAGCATGAGAGAGAGAGAGAATGAAAATGTTAATTAATTGAACCACATTTCCAACAAATAACAAAACAAAAATCCAGCCAGCAGAAGCAAGCGATATTTCCAAACTGATAGAGGAGAAGTCAGCTTCCTGATTTTCTTTTCCTAGGTCATTGTCTGACATGGGCATGAGAGGAAGCAAGAGGGAGCTCTTTGGGGTTTACCTATGTGTGTATGTAACAGGTAGGGAGAAGACAGGGGGATTTATGATTCTCTCACCACATTTCAAGGAGCTGCCAGTGTTGTGACCCAGTGAGGGATTAGGCAAATGAGCTGTTTTCTGAGGTTACCCAAACAATCCACACTGGAGAGCCCAGAGGTCAGTATCACTTCTCCTTTTCCAGCGGCTGTCGCAGTGAACGGGACCTGCTGGCTGGCCTCGAAGATGACTCCCTGACATCACTTAGTCTCACCCCCCACCTGTCAAGCTCAGAGGGGGAAATCCCCACTCTTTGCCTTAGTCACCTGTGGCAGCTACACATATAAATAAGCATCCTGGTTCCTCAACTTCTCAGTCTCAAAGGAAGTCCTCCTTTACGTCCATCATCCCAAGCTCAGCCTGAGAGCCTCAAAGATGAAGAACAGCTTGAGGAACCAGCTGCAAGGAGGTGTCCTTCTGTGCTTCCTCTTGATCTCTGCCACTTCCACAGGGATGTGGTTGCCCAGGGAAAGCCACATTCCATGGCAACAATGCAGGGATGCCTCACAAGAGGTCCTCAAGCAGTTGTGGAAGCTGAACATCAAGAAGCCGGAGGTGAGAAAATACCACATTTTGTTGTTTTCTTTACTGTGTTTAATGGGGCCAGCATTCAAAGCAGAAGCTCTAGAAGATGACAGGCAACAGGGGGTAACTTAAGAGTTCTACATCCCATGGCAAGCCCAGTTCAATACAAGTCCACCCTTCATGGGGAAAGCAGCTAATGTGATTGAGTATCCCTCACACAAAAGTGAGGGAAAGAGGGAGGACTGTAGTAGGTCGATGGTAGAGGAGGCGCTTCATAAGCATAGCCAGGTTTCATCTCCGGAAGGTTCCAGATAGAGTTGGGAAAAACGTTCCTTTCCTGCTTCAAAAGATGGAGAGCTGCTGTCAGGCTGTACAGGCAATACAGTGGTCTAGACTAGAGTAGGCACCATAAATGCTAATAAGCAAATTAGCAGAAAAAGGTTTTTAAAAATAAATTTGAATTATGGCATGTAGGGGGAAAGCTATCCAGACTTGTATGTGAGCGAGGAATTCCCATTCACTTCAGTAGGAATTATTTTCCCAATGAAAAGCGCAAGCATGAGTAGCTTGTTGTGTTGCCCATTATTTTTCCTTAAAAAAAACAAACTTAGAACTTTTAAGAGAATAGCACAACACATGAAAAATTCTCATCAAAATGTCTGTAAAATTCCTTGGAATCACCTTTAAAGGTAAATTTAGAACATAACTGCAATTACCTCATTAAAGCAACTTAATTTCCACTCTTTGGAAGGCTTTCAAAATGTAACAATACTATGTCCTCATTGGCTTCTTCTTTGAAAATAATTCCTTAGAGGTAACAATTGTATTGCTTGTAACATGTTACTCCTAAACTCTGGGTCTGACTTGGCACAATGCCACTTTCTTGCTACATCCACAGCAAGAGAAAACAGATACTCTCGTGTTCTGCTTAAGAGTTTTCCATAGTCCTCTAACCTCAGTTTAATCCTTTTAGTGTCTAATGAAAGTTCATGCTGGATTTTATCTAGAATCCACTTACTGTATTTGTCTTTCTGACAGTCCTCAGTGTCCCTGAAGCTCTCCTCCACATTTTGAATGAGTTCATTATTTTCCTGTCAGCTTCCTTTGCTGTCCAACTTTCACATCCCTACATAGTAATCTAGAATACCACACTATGGATGATCTTGGTCTTAGTTTCCTGTAACACATTTTTGCTTTTTTCAAGTTCCTTAATAGTTGTCCTTCCTAGTCTTCTTTAGATTTCTTACCTGCGGTGTCTATTTTGATATTTTAAAAGTAGATTCTATGCAAGGAAATCTGAAGAAAATCAGACAGAAAATTATTTTTTTAAAAAAAAAATCACCTAGATTTTTATTTTTTTCATAATGAGTAAATTGGAAATTATAAACAACACTGTGAATCATTCATAAGCATATTACCAAAGGTTGCTAGCTAATCCAGATTAAGTAACATGTGTTTGGAAAACCCTATGTTAATGATGCCCTATATTTTTACTAGCCAATTAATATATTAATGTAAAGGGTAATGAAAACACAAATAATAAAGTTTTCTCCATTTTCTTTATTTTTATTGTATTACGTAGAAACCCAAAACTTAATGGGATGAGTTGATAGTATCTTTTCTTTAGATTCACCTTGTAATTTGAGGTTTTAAATTTTACTTAATTTGTTCATAAATCTGACCTAGAGGAGAGGATTTTGTGAGAGGCAGGGCACTGATTAGAATAGGTCTTCATGCTACACATCAGATATGTTCTTGTGTTGCATAGGTTGAATACAGTTTAAGCTGAGGGAACATGCTATAGGTCCAATCAAAATCAGGGGAGCAGATTAGTCATAACTGTAGTCCTGCTTGGGATTGAGAGTAAGCCCACATAACCTAGATTTAGAAGACATATCCAGCCTTAAGAGTTCTAGTTTAGTTCCAATGTCATGTCTTCTAACCTGGATTGAGTACCATCTCTTGACAATATGCTCAAAGCCACCAGTGTAAATTAGAATTCCCAGTTTACCCATAATGAATAAAGAGAGAAATCCAGTGGAAAAACCAACCAACCGACTCACCAGCCGAGAATGTTCTGTTAGGTTTTTCAGAATTGAAAAAAAATCATTGCCTAAAATCATTTATTAAAACTGGAAGTACCAATCAAGTACCAAAGGTCTACAGTTTAAAAGACCATTTTCATTGTTCCCCTGATTCTCTCCACAGTTTTCACTCATCCTGGTTCTTTCCACGATCAACAAAAATTAAAATCTGTCCTAGCACATTTTAGATTGGAAAACAACTTCCTCCTGTGCTCATATAGTTTGCTTCTGAAAGTTTCATACTGTCATATTACTCTTTGTTCTGAAAGCATATGATATGATATGATGCAATTTCTGGTTTTCCTCCTTTCCTTTTACTATTTCTTTTACTCTTCTACTATTGCAGCACATTGGTCCTTACCTTCACGTGACTGGAGGAAGAATCCATCCCTTTTCTGCTCTTGAATTCCTCCGCTACAGCACAATTTAAGAATGCCAAGAAGTAACATATTTATATTAAGTCATCCTGACAGTCTCAGTTGGAACCAAGATTAAATTGGATGGTGGCTGTCACACCACTTGTCTCTGCTAGTGTTGTCAAATCTACCTTTCCCTTGTCACTCGACTATTTAGATAAAGGTCTCTTTAAATCACCTCAGGAATAAACATGTCTTCCTTAATAATCTTCACTTATTTCCTCCCTTCCTTTGTCTACTGCAAACAGCCTTAGTGTTTGTGTGTTTGTCTCTTCACTCACGCCCTCATAACACTCTCCATGTAACCAGCCCTCAGGTGTTGTACTTAACACCATTCAGCGTGAACAGAACAAATAAGGTTTTATTAGAATAACAGCGTTAAAAGAGCATTGTTCATTCCCAGGCTTTAAATTAATCCAGCACAATCTTTCACTCTCTATTAATTCTTCCTTCCTCACCCCCACCCCTCTCTCTGATTGACCTCTTTGACTTCTCTCTCTTCATACCAGACTGCTCTGGAGGAAACTCAAGAATCCCTCACAGACACTCCTTATCTAGTTTCCCTCCCAGCCAATCATTCTTCCCAATACTCCATGCTCTTCCCATCACAAACTTACCAAATCATACCAAAAATACCTCTAAATACAACCAAACATCCTGGTGGCCTTTTGGATGTTTTTGAATTATGGGCCACATAATCCCTCTGTAACAATTTTTTGCAGATACTTTAGCAGACTACTGTACTGTATAGCAGGCTAGTAAGGTAAACTTTGGGCGATGAACCAGGAAGAAACAAAAGGGAATAAGGAACTAATTTACCTTTTTTGAAGGAAGAGGAAATGACCCAAGGCCAACAATTTACAAGTAGTCACTTATCACAGAAAGTCAAGACTGTTTAAAATGCTCTACTCCACCTTGCTCTCTATATCTCTCTATTGCAACCCCAGCATAATTGCCGGCATTATTCTCAACACCCTTAGCATTGAGAGATGATGACCAGGAGTGATGGTGGCTGCTTGCAACCCCATCTGGATGGCTGCACATTCCCCCTCCCTCTCCTGCTGGGTAGGCTCCAGTTACTATTAACCTTAGTGAGTACAGTAGCACACTTTTGCTTTGAGTAGTGGCTGACACTTAACCTTGCTGATTTATAGCTGGGAATCATTTCTCTGTTTGGTTTTCAATGGTAGCACTACTTACTTCCTAACTCCTTTTCAGATCTAAAGAGGACTCGCTTTCAACCCTATCCAGTCTGCAACCTGGGTCCTACTTTCAGTTATTTCATCCCATGCATTTCTTTGCTGCGCCTCACCTGGACATACAATGGGATGCCACTAGAACAGAGAGAAATCCATTTGGGAATCTTGTCCCACCAGCTGAGGATGCACAGCCATTGGATAGGCCAGTTCACTACAAGTGCCCCCCCCCGCTGGAGATGGACCTTCTTACAGAGACCTGAAACAGTTCAACTATTCAGACACATATATAACTGTGTGAGGTCGAGTTGATTCTGACTTATGGTGACCTTTTCCAGGGTTTTCTAGGCAGAGAATACTCAGAAGTGTTTTACCCTTTCCCTTCTTCTGGGGGCTGTCCTGGGACTGTGCAGCTTCCCCAAGGCCACATATAATTAACCCCAAACTGACCTTTAAAACTAACACAAAAACATCTTCTTCAGGGGTGGGGGAATGCCAAGCAGCAAAAGAGGTTTTTCGTTGCTCACAATTGTCTCCCCACCTTTGCTGAGGTTCCTGCATGCATGTCATTCTTTACCAGGAACCTTGGGAATTGTAGGGGGGGGGGGAAAGGCTGGTGGCTACATTTCTCAACATGCTTTGGTGGAGAAACTAGATATCAACACGATCAAGGTCTGCATGCCATTTATTCTTTTATCACGACGATACTTTTTTGTCCCACTTTTTGACTCTGCTGAGGCTAGTCTTAGCCCTGTGCTGTGTGGATACTGGGATGCAGTACCAGGATCAAAGAAAGCTGAACAGGTGCTCAGAGTGAAAAGACTCCAACCTAGGAAGCACCGCCTGCGTGGTTTTCTGTTCCACATGAATTTATAAAGGGAACTCATGTTCAGAAGGTGACCTGGTCTGTTGTGCTGAACCCAACCTATCCATGATTTCCAGGAGGAGCTGTACTGCAAATTGGGGAAACAAACCTTTTGGGTGACAGTGAGAGAGGGGAGGCCCTGAGGATGTAAATGGTGATCAAGGGAATATTAAAGCAGGAAGTTTGCACGACAGGGATGATGATATTTTCCCAGCATTAGATTGCATGCCGAGCAAGCTGGAAGCGCATCCTTCCATTCATTGCCTCTTTTATTTTTTTCTGTAGGTACCACACACAACTATTTCCTTTCCCCAGCGAATTGAATGCAAGGACAGATGTGACCCAGATTCCCTGGGCAAAGTTCCTGACTCTCTGGTAACTATTCTTATCTGAATGAAGCATTTGGGGCCATTCCAAACAAAAAGCCCAGCATACCCCTAATGGTCAATATATTATTGCCTATTTGTATGCATTCCAAAGGGGGAGCCCTGTTGGCCTACATCAGCAAAAGCCGTAAAGAGTCCTATGGCCTCCTGATGAACAAGACATTTAGTATGGCATGTATTTCTGCTCAGTTTGTGTTGAATTTGCTTTGGCACATTGGACATGGGCTTTGCTAATACCGTATAACAATGGCTGTAATCAAGTCCCACATCCAAATGTCTACAGCCCATCTTCTGGATATATATTTTTAAAGCATACATTTGTGCAATGGTTTTTAAATAGTTTTCCAAAGACAGGTGAGGTCCACTGGATAGAAACTTGATGATAAGGTGCATTAAAAATGGCTGGATGACCACTAGTGGTGTTCTTTGTACCAGATGCAGCCACAACAGCTTGTAGGAGTGTTTGGAAGGCACATGAATTCCCAAATCAGCAATGGTGAGGAGGGGGGCATGGCAGTCCTAGCTAGTGCCCAGTTTGTAGCCCAGAAAAAAATAGCTTTCCTAAGCTCTGCCGTTGTTTGAACTGAGACTGGGTCACTGATTGTAGGAAAGATAACTAAATCCTGAGAATCCCTTGCAATGATGACTGGGAAATTCCACAACAGCAGATTCTCAGATTTGATACAGAAATGGTTCCTGAGAAAGGCTGAAGTCACTCATTTTTAGACTGGTCTTTCCAAAGGTGATGAGCTCCAAAGATTGGGTGTGTCAGCTGGAGAGAACAGGAGTGGGAGACAAAGACACTTTTAGAGTTCACTGGGTTTGGCAGTGTGGATAATTCTGTTTTTTCCCCTACAGCCCCCTCCCCCAGCCCAAGCAGCATAGCTAATGGTGAGTTTCAGGCCAAAAACATCTGGAAGGCTACAATCATCCACTTCTGAGATAGAGAATAAGTGAACTACTGAAACTCAATGCTGCAGGGTTCAGTTTCCATCTCAAGGAACTGAGAGAAAACTAAAGGGACAATGGCTGGCAATGACAGAAAAGGGACAGAATGAGATGGGATAAGCCAGTGGCTCCCAGCCTTGGGTAACCCAGAGGTTTCTGGCTTGCAACTCCCAGAAACTCTAGTGGTGAAGGCTTCTGGGAGTTACAGTCCAAGAACATATGGGTTATCCAAGGTTGTGTGCCGCTGGGGTAAGCTTTCTATCCCAGGAGGTAAGGAAAAGAAAAGGATCCATTTCTTCCTCTACTGCTTTGTCTTTATCTTCTCTAGGGCTTAACCTTTTCTAACATGGTTTTTTGAATATTGAACTTTGGTCCTGAAATATGGGAATAATAAAAACAGGTATTAAAGCCAACAGTACTTATTGTAATTACATTCTGATTTTTACCTCTTGGAGAGTTCATGAAGAGGTCCGCCATCTGCTTAGTTTCAGCAGGACTGCAGCCAACCTTGTTTCTATGCCTTTTGACTTGGTTCTAAGCCTGACGTTCAACATAACATAAACTGACCCTTGGCTTCTTTCTCTGTCTTTCAGCAGTGCCTCACAAAAATAAGAGAGGGACTTCACCATTATCATAAGCTTCTGACCCGGTTTTCTAACTCAGGGTTAACTGCAGAGCTCCAAGATGCCCTGAATTCATTGCTGCAGTTGCTCCTTATAGAGGTGAGTATGTCTACTGGAGAGCAAGAGTTTGGCCAATGGGATGCCAAGGTGTGTGTGTTTGGGGGGGAGGGAATTCAAAGGAGCTACTGAAATGAACAGGGCATATAGGAGGGAGCTTTTTCACTTTTTTCAGTCCAGCTTTTAAGCCAGGGAGAGACCAATATAATTGCCTTATAGCACAAGCCTACAGATATTGATTCTATGAGTTTAGGTAGGCTGTGAAGGAAAGGGCAGTGGAACAGGCTAGAGGAATCTTCGCAGGACTGCAGATCAGGCTGGTTGCAAGATGACAGTAAGAGTCACAATGAAGACATTCACATTCTCCCAGACATCTTAGGAACTGTTTTCAGTGCTTTTAGTTCATTATTTCTTAGCTCATTCCGTAAGGCTTGGGAAGGTAGCATTCAACTTTGACATGGATAGAAAAAGAAAAACATGGTCAACAAGAGGTAGCAACCCTGGGGTCATTTCCGTAGCCCTAAAGGCTAATCTGAAGTGCCCCCTATGGGAAAAAAAGTTGCTTAGATGGGAGAGTGGGGTATTTCCCCACTTCTCCCCATGCCTTGTTGCAGGTTCTGCTTATTCAAACCCAAAAGTTATCCCACAACTAGAATAAAGCAAGGGTGCTTATATGAGGTCCATGGCAAAAAGCAGCCTCCAGGGTCATTTTTGCAACCCAAAGGCTACCCTTAAACCCACCACCTCCCCCATGAAAAACCCAGAGTTTTTAATTCCATTGTCATACTGCTCTAACAGTTAGGAAGATTTTCCTGATATTGAGCTGAAATCTGGCTTCTTGTCAACTTGAGCCCATTATTATATGTCCTGCTTTCTGGGATGATTGAGAACAGATCCTGTCCCTCCTCTGTATACCTTTCATGTATTTAAAGAATGTGATAATATCTTCTCTCAGACTCCTTAAATAGCTTGCTTACCCTGAAAGCTCTACTATGATCACTGTTAAGTTAGTTCCAATTTGACAGCACATAACACGTACCATGCCAGACTAACTGCCAGTACCTTAAGCAAAGGAAGCCTCATTAGCCAATAAGGAAAAAAACAAAAAAAACCAAAGCCTATATTTTCATACTTTTACTGGGCTATCTGGAAGAGAGCAGAAAAAATGAGTGTGAATCTATAGGATACCCAGACCAGAAGGCAAGATGTCTGTAAAAAAGGTTTGAGGCATGTAGAGGACAGAAAGGAGAAGAAAAACAAACCCACTCCCGGAGAATGGTGTCTTACAGCCACTCCCCTCTGGCCTCCACAGATGTGTGTATTCATCTTGTGGAGGGGTGATGATGAGTGTTTATAAGAGCCAAGGTAAGGTTACAGCAGCTGCAAGGGAGACCCAGAATTTAGGACAAAAAGGAAATGTAATCCAAAATACTTTTTTAAAAAAATCTTCTACAGGATGGAGGCAGCCAGAAGGAAACAAACAGCCCAGCCATTCTGGATAATGTGCAAGAGTGGGAGAAGACACCGCTGCAGAATTTCACCCTGTGGCGTCTGCAGTCCTTTGCTGTTGTGGTGGCCAGAGTCCTTTCCCACTGCGCCTCTTTATCCGAGGCCAGCATGATCTAAGGGAAGAAGCCAATGTACGATGTATTTCCACTATGTGCTTCTATTTATTTATTTAATCTTTTGTTTGTATTGTGTTTGTTTATGATCTATGCTTCTATTTAAGCCATTTAATCTATTTATTTGTTTGTTCGTTTGGCCTGACTCCTGCTGGACACATCTTAAAATATTAAGACCTTCTGTCCCAGCTTTAAATATCAAGGAGGAGCAAGTTTGTTATAGAACTTCATTTCCAGACGAGGCACCCGCACTTCTGTACTATGTGCCCATCCTCTTTTGTGGGATGACTTGTGGGTTGTAACTATTACTCTTTCCAAAGAAAGAAGTCAACAAGGGAAGTATTTTCATTATGTAATTCTACTTATTTAATGTGTTTATTTAATCTTTTTATGTGTGTATTTATAATCCATGTATTTATTTATTTATTTACTTGCCTACTTATTTTATTCATTTGGTTGGATCCCTGCTGGATACTGCTATGCCACTTGATCCAGAATGTGTAAGGGAAGCCATGTGCCAATTTTAGATTCTAAGAAGGAGCAGGTTCATTATAGAACTTCACTTCTTCATTACCGGACGATGTATTCATTCTCTTTTGTGGGATGAGATTTGCAAGTTATACCTGTGCACATACTTTGCATGGATTTACTCTAATAAAGCTTTTGTTATTCTATGTGGAAATGCATTTTTGTCTCATTTGGGAAATGTAAGGAAGAGAAAATTAGGGAACCAGGGGTGGGGGAGAAAAAAAACACACATCAAAGCTGATCTAAAAAAATGTAAGCTGCAGTTTGGAATACACTCTGGGAGCGATAGAAGGGTTCAGAATCTCTGATGGCTGAGATGGAGGGGTATAAGGAAGAGCATGGACCCTAGCAGGAGGAGGAAGTAGCAGCCAGTGATGTCAAGAGCATGGGGTAGGCAGAAATCCACACTCTGCTGCCTTTAACTGCTTTTGCTTGTTGTTCTTCACATTGGAGAGTAATGTTGGAATGTGGGTGTGGGTGTAAATCTGCTGGTGCGTTTGACACCTTCATCAGAGTACTACTGCAATCCCATGTTCCCTAGCGGCTGGCAATGTTATGTTTTTGGACAGCTCCCACAACCAGCATAGCTAGTGACCGAGTTGGCCAGGGCACTGAGAGCTGCTGTCCAGAACAAGAAACCTTTCCAAGTTTGGTTTTTCTGGAGTACTTTTCCCTTCATGGGCTACAAGGGCTCTCGCCAGGTTTCTTTCAGAATTCTATGGTGGAGAAAATCCATGCTTCACATTTTCCACTGTTCCGATGTAGCAATGGGAGAGGTAGAAATGGGATGATAATCATGAATATGTTTTTCTTAAAAGGAATTCGATTACTTCTCTCTCAAAAGAGGGACATTTTTTAAACAATTCAGTAATTTTAATTTGCTGTTTAAATGTGTTATTTTAACAGATGAGGGCTAGAATCTTGCTCGAGAAAAATGTGTACACAAGCCTTAATTGCACATATAGGTTCTTCTTTGTTGGGGTGTTGAGGGTTAAACAACTAGTTGCACAACCAGATGATGGGCATGCCATAAGAGGGAGGAACTGCTTACATGATGACCCCTCCTTGGTTTCCCTCTGGCCTAAATGTGCTACAAGAATAAAGGTGAAAAACAGTGCCTTTTTACTCCTTTTAGTCTTCACATATTACCTTCCAAATCAAACCAAGGATTTCCCTGCCAATTTGCTACACAATTAAAATCTGAACAGATATCTGTACTGCCCAATTTGGTCTGCACTCTTCTCCAAATGATGGGAAATGGCAGAGTAGTTTGACAGGTCCAGTCTCCCACAGAGAATTCTGGAGATATAAACAGGGTTTTGAAATAATCTGTTTATTGATAACTATACAGATTGAGTAAGTAAGAAATGACAGCCCTCACATACAAAAAACCCTCTCCGCTACTAATTATCATAAATCTAAATTAAAGCATGCAACCTCTAGCAAGAAGCTTCTATGATATTCCACACTTTAGAAACACACACAATGCCTCCTCCTTCACCAAGTGCTTCTCCTATTATACCAGGAACACAGATTGCCAGGGCTCTGCTGCTGAGTCACTAGTCATGGCACCCCTTTCTGCCAGATATTTTCATCTGACTGAAATTATCCATCTACTTCCGCAGACTCTCCACGGACTCAACTCCCTTCCCCCGATGGGGTCTCTCCAATCCCTCAGCTTCCAAAGGAGTCACTTCTGGCTTCTTCTCCTCATTCCACCCCGTCCTATAATTTAGGACTAAAGAAGTTACCCAAATCCTAGCTCACTCCCCTGCTATCTTATATCCTGAGGTCGAGGGGCAGGTTTTAAAAAACAAAGAAGCTAAACAGAGCATTTTGAAATCTGAAGCAGATTTCTCCTGAACAAAAGTGACTGTTTTTGCCAGGGAGGCTCAAGATATTTTGCTACGTAAGGTTTTCCCCTCACACCTACCTCTATAGCCAAAAGGAAAATAACTGGGATTGAAAAGGCCCTCCCCATCACACCGAAAGGCAGCAGAAAATTTTAGGGCTATGGTGAAAAGTTTCCAAGGCCCACCAACACACAAGAGTTCTATCTGCCAAATGAGGGCTGCCCCGAGACATTTGCCCCACCCCCAGAGGGGGCTGCCCCAGTCTGCCAAGGGGTAGGTCCCATCCTGTTCAATAGCCTTTTGTCCTGCAAAAAGCAACTGCTCTCTGTGAACAGAGGACAAATCAAGCATGACTTTGGAGTGAGCACTGAGAACAGAAACTGCCCAGAAACAGGAGTGTTTGGAGGGAAATTAATGGAAAGAGGTGAAGAAAACTCCAGGAGAGGTTCACTGTGCAGAGAAAAGGGCTAAGAAAGGACTGTTGCTTAACTGTGGTCAGAATCCTTACTGGTGTATGTGGACGTGTGCATCAGAATCAGTGTTCAGTTTCTAAATAATATACATATATAATATGTGGAGAGTAGGAATGAGAAAGCCTCATTATTTATTGACACACACCCCACTCCCATTATCCTCCAGGCACACCAAAACCCCAGTCAGTCTAGCCCTTCCATTTTACATGGACACTCAACACAGCCACCCCTCCCACCAGTGACATTCAGAGAATCCAGAGTGAAGCCAGTTTCCAAGATCGTTCAGTGTCTTTCTTGAGTTGATTAATTTTGAAAAAGGTTGTTTTGCACTGGGGCATAAGGATGGCAGAGGTGAACAGCAAGAAACACAGACATCCAACTTGGCAAAAACCCATCAGTACCACTATTGCCTGTTGGGTTTATTTCTAAGACGAGAACCACTTGTGCTATCAGGCGGTAGGAGAAGAAACCTACAGGAAAAAGTCTTCTTCACTGAGATGCAGTTGTTTTAATTCTTGTATCTCTTCAGATGCCTCCTCTCCAACTGGTGGTGAAAGAAAAGGATCTGAGAAAACAAGGGAAGGAGAACATCAATACAGGACTGAAGGTGAAAGCAAAGGGAACACTGCAGAGACGCTGAGGGATGAAGAGTCAAAACAGAAGCCAGAAGCATCGCCACTGTGGTCCCAGCAGGAAAATCTGTGATCTTCTCGTGGGTGGCCACTACTTTGAGACAAGTGAATGTTCACCCTTAGCATGACCCTTGACTGCCAGAAAGATAAACAACTGGATCCTAGATCAAATCAAGCCTGAACTATCTCTGGAGGCAAAAATGTTGGAGCTGAGGCTGTCCTATTTTGGGCATGTCATGAGAAGAAAGGATTCTCTGGAAAAGGCAACAATGCTGGGAAAGGTGGAAGGCAGCAGAGGACAACCAAATAGGAGATGAGCTGACTCCTAAAGGAAACCACAGGGCCTGTTTGCAGGAATGGAGCAGGGCTGTTGAGGACAGGACATTTTGGAGATCCACCCATCCACAGGGTCACCGTAAGTGGGAAGTGATCCTTGATGGCACGTTTAGCAACAACATGACCCTAGAGGACTCACCTTGCCTCTCAAACAAGAGGCCTCCAAGTCCTTGTTCAAGGTCGCTCAAGTAAGCGGGCAAAGGAATGTCGTTCTCAGGGAGTAGCCCATTCGCCTCTGGAGACTGTCCCTCCACAGGCGGCTCTGGAAGTTGGACCTCTGCAGCTTGAATTTCCGGAGCAGGAACCTCCGCAGCCTGAGCCCCTTCTGGTTGGCTAAGTGAACAAAACAATCACATTTGTGTAAGGGACAAGAAGGAAATGTCCCACCACTTTATGAAATGTAAGATGCTCGGGGCATGAGGCCTGTCTTCTACTACTGAACTACCCAGATTATGGAACTCCCTCCCTAGAGAAGTTCTATCCAGGCTGCTAATCAAGTTTTCATTTTTCCAAGTGTTCTTTTTAAAGTGTGTGTTGAAATGTAATCTCCCCACCTACTTTTCTACTTTCCTCTCACTATGAAATGCGCTTTAAGTTGATAAGCCAAATGAATGGTGGAGGCAACCCATCTGGAGGTAGAATGGGAAGTCACCTGACGGCCTTTTGTAGGTAGCCGATGGATTATGAAGAGACGAGATGACTGTCTAAAAGGTTAGGTACGTTGGAGATAAAAAGCAAGAGCTCTTCTGACATCCAATGTATGGAGTATTTTTTCTTGGTTTGAAGAAGGCGACGTAAAAAATGAAGGAAGGACTATCGGCTGGGAAAGATGAAATTGAGAGACAATTTTGGGGAGGAAGGAAATGTCCATGAATAACTTCACCTTATCAGAAAAAAACTGTAGATAAGGGTAGTCGTAGCGTAAATCTGCCAATTTGCTAGCTTGTCGAGCTGAGGTGATGGCTACGAGAAAAGCTGTTTTAAAGGTGAGGAGTATTAAGTCAGTTGTAGCTAATGGCTCAAAAGGAGCTTTGGTAAGGTGTTTCAAAACAAGAGTTAGTGACCATTGTGGAGAGGGAGGTTGGGCTGAGGAAGTGGGTAAAGCAGCCATGAAAGGGCTTCAGGATTAAAGGGGTGCGATTGTGCAGCCCTTTCACGGCTGCTTTACCCAAAGGGAGCCTACCCTTCCTTTTTCCTAAGCCCCGTGGCTTCGCAAAAGGCAGGGAAAGCGGGTGCCTTCCGTGTATAAAACGACCCTCAGTTTTTTGTCTAAGGAAAAAGTGTTGTTTTATACACGAAAAAATACGGTATGTCCATTTTACTGCAAAATGGTCTACCCAAATTTCATGACTGTAAGACAGGGAAGGAAATGGGGATTAATACCCACAACAAACAAGACCTAGGGAAGCACTGGCAGAAGGCAGGGAACAGGAGACAGCTTCCACAATCTCTCTCTCTCTCCCCCTCCCCTCACTCTTGAGGGTCCTGGGCAGGGGCTCCGGAGTGGGAAGAGCTGAGAAGACTGCCCTCCCTGACACATGGGTGAAGGCTGCCTTCTGGCGCTGCTTCTCAGGGCTCAAGTCAAGATCTGTGCATAAGGCCGAAGGGACAAAGCGAGCTTTGCAGCCGGTGGTTCCGCCACAGCTATCAAGGTCCGAGAAAATGTGAGGAGATGGCATTGCTCACCTGGGATGGGAGACTCTGATCAGGCGACGCTTCAGGTATTTCCTGTGTTCTGACAGGTACTTTTCTACTTTCCTCTCACTATGAAATGCGCTTTAAGTTGATAAGCCAAATGAATGGTGGAGGCAACCCATCTGGAGGTAGAATGGGAAGTCACCTGACGGCCTTTTGTAGGTAGCCGATGGTTTATGAAGAGACGAGATGACTGTCTAAAAGGTTAGGTACGTTGGAGATAAAAAGCAAGAGCTCTTCTGACATCCAATGTATGGAGTATTTTTTCTTGGTTTGAAGAAGGCGACGTAAAAAATGAAGGAAGGACTATCGGCTGGGAAAGATGAAATTGAGAGACAATTTTGGGGAGGAAGGAAATGTCCATGAATAACTTCACCTTATCAGAAAAAAACTGTAGATAAGGGTAGTCGTAGCGTAAATCTGCCAATTTGCTAGCTTGTCGAGCTGAGGTGATGGCTACGAGAAAAGCTGTTTTAAAGGTGAGGAGTATTAAGTCAGTTGTAGCTAATGGCTCAAAAGGAGCTTTGGTAAGGTGTTTCAAAACAAGAGTTAGTGACCATTGTGGAGAGGGAGGTTGGACTGAGGAAGTGGGTAAAGCAGCCATGAAAGGGCTTCAGGATTAAAGGGGTGCGATTGTGCAGCCCTTTCACGGCTGCTTTACCCAAAGGGAGCCTACCCTTCCTTTTTCCTAAGCCCCGTGGCTTCGCAAAAGGCAGGGAAAGCGGGTGCCTTCCGTGTATAAAACGACCCTCAGTTTTTTGTCTAAGGAAAAAGTGTTGTTTTATACACGAAAAAATACGGTATGTCCATTTTACTGCAAAATGGTCTACCCAAATTTCATGACTGTAAGACAGGGAAGGAAATGGGGATTAATACCCACAACAAACAAGACCTAGGGAAGCACTGGCAGAAGGCAGGGAACAGGAGACAGCTTCCACAATCTCTCTCTCTCCCCCTCCCCTCACTCTTGAGGGTCCTGGGCAGGGGCTCCGGAGTGGGAAGAGCTGAGAAGACTGCCCTCCCTGACACATGGGTGAAGGCTGCCTTCTGGCGCTGCTTCTCAGGGCTCAAGTCAAGATCTGTGCACAAGGCCGAAGGGACAAAGTGAGCTTTGCAGCCGGTGGTTCCGCCACAGCTATCAAGGTCCGAGAAAATGTGAGGAGATGGCATTGCTCACCTGGGATGGGAGACTCTGATCAGGCGACGCTTCAGGTATTTCCTGTGTTCTGACAGGTCTGAAAGGAGGAAAGACACACAACAGAACAGAAAGTGAAAGAGCCGGAGTGGGGTGGGAGTCTTCTTCAAATGCTGCAATGGACTCCTTGTGTGTGGCCAAGGCTCCGCTGATTCTGTGCTGAACGTTTTCAAAAATGTGTGCAGAAAGGTCACCCCCCCACCCCATACTGCACATTGTTTTGATGGGAATGTTTACATAATAAGTCATCATGTGCATGTTTTCCAGCAAATGGCATCTGCATGAAAGATGGGGTGACGGGACTGGGAGGCAGGGGCTAGTGTAGGTGCTGCCCTCTAGCTCAAACTCAAGGTGGGGGGGAAGAATTTAACTCTTCATCCCCACCTATTGCAGCCCTGACTGGGTCTCCACTACAGCTGCTGCTGATTACATGAGCAGGGAAGATCCAATTCATGCTTTGCTTTTCATGCAAATGCAAAGCACAAACACGGGAGGGAGGGTGCAAGCTGGATTGCGAACGAGACAAAGGGAACAGATCAAATCATTTCCGTCTTGGCCTCAGCCCTGATCAAGACAGCACCCTCCCAGCTTTCATGGTTATGCTTCACTTGCTTTTAAAAATCTGTCTTACTGTTCCACATTTTTAATAGGCAAGTCATGATGAAGAACACTTGGTAGTCCTGCCTCCCAGCAGGTAAAAGAACAACTGATAATGAACCTGACTTGCCACTGATGATTTCCAGAAATAGACACCGTTCCTGTATTTTCATACACATCCACTCAACTTTAGCCCTATTTAACAATGCCAAGAAGAGCTCACCCGTGTCAGGGTCACCATCCTTAATCACCCAGTTGTGGAGTTGTGACAGAGTGAAGAGCAGAGCGTTGGCAGGCTCTCCATGAAATCAGTAACTTTGAAAAACCAGGGCCCCCAATCAGGTGGAGAGCCTCTCTCTGTACCTAAGGCTTTCCTCTTCAGACCATTCCTCTTCATCATGAAAGGAACAGGGACACGGAAGCATCCCTCCCCACGCCTTGAGATCCACCTGATTTTGAATGTCTGAGCTCTGGAACGTCTCAGTGCATCCAGAGGCCAGGGGTCTGAACTAAAAGTAAAGAAATGCGAAGTGTTTTTAGAGCCATGAGGCTGATTCTGGAAGAAATGTTGCCGTAACCGGTAAAAGCGTATCCTGCCTTTTCCAGAGGATACAACGCTTGAAAGAAAAATTAGGCCAAAGAGAAAAAAAGACACTAAAGCTTGAAAACGTTTGCCACTAAAGCATCGCAAGGCACTACTTACAGTATTTTTCGCTCCATAAGACGCACCTTTCCATAAGACGCACCAATTTTTTAGGAGAAAACAGGAAAATCTAATCTGTTTTCTTCGCTCCATAAGACACACAGACTTTCCACCCCCGTTTTATGGGGGAAAAGTGCGTCTTATGGTGCGAAAAATACGGTAAGTACGCTCCCCTTGATGTTGCTAAGAAAACCTCACCCCAAACTATGGAGCACTTTTTTATATCCTTTAAAATGTCACTTTGCAAACAAATAGAGAGATTAAGATAAACCTCCTGGGACCAGTTCCAAAAATGTGCTGGATTCTGCACATGCTGACTACAGAAACGCACAATACATCAAAGCTGTGCTGCACAAAGCTGCACATTAGAAGGCCCGGCGTCTTAACCCATGAATGTAATCCCCAGTGGAGGACCAAAGTTCAGGAGAAGCCAACAGTGATACCTTCTTGGCGTTCACTGTAATAAGGACCAAAAGCTTCATCCCGATCAATGTCTGGATACAGGTAGTGGAACGGGTTCTCAGGGATGTTCTCTTCAGCCAGGATGTGGTAGTCGCGGATGATGTCAGGCAGCGACAGGATTTTGAGGTCATCCTTGGTGTAGGGCTCAACTGCCTGGAATTTGGGGGAACCTATGAAATTTAGAAGCACATTGATAGAAAAAATAATTTAAAAAATCATTACAGCATCTCAAAGCCTCAGACTAGGGTGTTAGTCTACACAAGTGATGTGGAATTTCCTAATAATTTTTTAAAAGTGGACTGACAAAAATGGAAGACACATAAACAATGTTTGTTGACAAATCCTGCTTTGCCACCCTCTCTTTAGTTCTCATCCTAATGTTGTCTGAAGGGATGGCTGTGGGGAACAGGAGGGTAAAAGGCAGAATCCTGCACATTTTTGCAAAATTGCTGAAGGGCAATCATGCAAGCTTTTCCGAACCGCCCCTACCTAGGAATTTCCATCGTGCAATTTCTTGCACAACATCTGGAAAATTTGGTATGTATGCAGCTGTGCAAAAGATAGCCCACCCAATGGGAAAAAAAACACAACTGCTTGATCACCATTCTGCCGGTAGCTTTGACAAAATTCTGATTGATTTATGAACTACTCCCTGCTGGCGAGGAAGGCACAGCTGAAGAGTCATGGGGCACTTGCTCCTCCCTAAAGGACACACTTCTAGTTCCCCTTTTTCTTGTCCTTCAGGGAAAGTTGACCCTTCCCTGCCTTCTCCACTCCCTCCTTGTGTGAGAAGCATTAAGCCCAAAGCCCGCAAGCTTGAACAAAGGTCATCCATGTCCGCACGCACAGTCTGGGGACATGTAGAGGCAACTGCGTCGTTGGGCAGCTCAAGCAATGCACTGTGCTTGTCACCCCTACCCCTTGACCTAAACAGATGAAAACAAGGCACCGCAGGAGAGGAGGAATCTGGGGGAACAAGGGAAAGGAGAGGATGCTAGCACTCACCTTGGTTGTCATACTCCACCCAAGTGCAGGTGATGCCACCGTTTGGGCTACTCTCACTGAAACGGAGCAGGAAGGTGCCCCCCACCTTCCTCTTCAACAAATGCCTCTCCCGTTTACGGCTCACAAATCCCATGATGAGCCTAGGGTGGGTTGGGAGAGGAGGTTTTTAAAAACTAGACCCTTGGCTCACCCTGAGCAACCTCTTCATGACTCCTCTGGCCTTGTCCTTTTCCTGCCCTCCCAGATCTTCTCTCCTCCCACCGCCCCCAGTGGATTTCCATAGGGACCATCTCTGGTATACTTGTATCCCATTATTCAGCCTTCCTTAACAGCTCACCCTCCTGTCCTTGGCATCTCTTAGCAAGACCTTCCCCCCCCAAGGTGAACACGGGTTCAATCCCAGCAGGCACCCTGCCCCTCCCATTTCTTGCTTTACATATGTGTGTGTGTGTGTGTGTGTGTGAGAGAGAGAGAGAGAGAGAGTAGGTGGCCCTGGGACCGCAAGGGTGGAGGCAGCTCACTACGAGATGAGGCAGGCAGGTGGGGCAGGCCTAGCTCCATAGCTTTCAGGGACACTTCCAGCACATTTATAAGAGTCATTTTTCCGAGTCATTCTCCATCCCCAGAGGCACTCCTTGGAAATGTTACGTTTATTGGCCAACAACTTGAAAAATCCAATGACTGCCTGTAAAGCAGGTGCGCCTCCTGCTCTGTGGGTCCTGCCTCCTAACTTCTGTCCTGAAAGTTCCTTCTCACTTCTGGGCATCTCATGCAAACCGTAAGGTGACACCCCCCCCCTTTTGTTGTTGTTGTGACAGTGGAAGAGCAGAAGAAGAAAAAACTCATGGGTGATGTGGGTCTAGTTGTATTATCCAGATTTTTCTTTCCTTTCCTTTTGTTTCCACTTATAACTCACAAAGTCATACAAAAGAGCGTTTTGGCATTTTAAAATGTGTGTGTGTGGGTGGCATGTGTGTATATTTTTAAATCACTGCACAACCCAGATGATTTTTCTAATGAATGATGGAGGCATGATTCCACCTTGCAAATAGTATCTTCATGGTCTACAACTTGCTAAGTGTCTTTAAAAAGTGAGCTGGGACCTAAGATTCCTTAAAGTTTAACTGTCTACATGAGAAGAAGTCGACTCTTCCACTTTCCTCTCTGCTTCATACCCGTTCTTCCAGAGTTCCAGCAGGTGTTCCCGTATCAGAAGTATGATCCCATCCATCCAGGCCCAGAAGGAGACATTGGCAGTGGTCAGCTCCTGGAAGGGGGAAAAAAACCAGGTGGGAAAGGTAAGCAAGAACCTGCTGGGTGTGGGGCAAAGAACTGACCAAAGGAATTTTTTTAAAGGAAGCATTTTATTCCATGTTTCAGTTTTGTTTCTAATACTATTCTTATTATGGGTTTTAATATGATATTGATTTAATGCTTTTAAATTATGGCAATCATTTATTATTTGGCTTTTAACTTTGTCTCTTTTAATACTGTAAGCTGCCTTGTATCTTTGAGGAGAAAGGCGGCACAGAAATATGTTAAATAAATAAAAATAAGCCAAGGAAAGGGCACTTGGGAGGGCAGTTTAATGAACACTTACTTTGGAGAACTGATTCCAGGTGATGGTGCTTTCTGCCACGACAGAGGATCCTTAAGTGGGAAAAAGGAAGGAAGGGATGAACAACTGTGTGTGTGGGGGATTCCCCACATGTCCCCAGTGGAACGTTGGCCTCAGGCGCGTGCGCGTGTGCACATACACACACACACACCTTCTGCCATGGACTACCTGGCAACCCAGATAGCCTGATGGTCCTGTGGAAGGCAAGAATGGGGCCCCAGGGGAGAAGGTCCGAAAGTGGATGAGCAGCCATATGTGAAGGATGGAACCAGAGCAAGGGCAGGATGGCAGGAGCTGGGTTTGAAGGGGTAGGATGAGGGAAGAAGTTCATTGCCCTCATCAGACAATGGAGTCAAAGGGGTGGGCAGAGATCTCTGGGGAACCCCCTTCTATCTTCTGTGCCCTTGATGAAAACCAGCTGTGGCGGCGGTGGCGGCTGCTCTAAGGCTCACAGACAGAGGAATGAGATCAGCTTTGCCCCTGAAAAAGGATGGGTGAGGAGACCTGCAGGTTGTTGCACCACCTGGGTCCTCACAATAATGGTACAAGCACCTGGGTCAGCTACACCAGGAGTCTGGAGTCCATGGAGCCTTGGGTTGAGGAAACCTGCCTGGCCACCCTGACCTTTGAGGGGAAGTGGGTAAGAATGCTGGGACTTCTTCCTAGAGCTTGGCAACCTTACTTCTTAACATTTGTTTAGTCATGAAGTCACGTCCGACTCTTCGTGACCCCATGGACCAGAGCACGCCAGGCCCTCCTGTCTTCCACTGCCTCCCGGAGTTGGGTCAGACTTCTTAACACTGTAGCTCCCCAAATCCCTCAGCCAAAACTGATCATGTTTGTTCTGAAGATTCTAGGAGCTGTGTCAAGAAAAATAAGTATCTCTCTTTAGCTCTGCTTTTTTAGCATCCCACCTACAAGCTTCTGCTTTATGGCTGTGAGACATTACTGAAGTACAGGCTTGAATAATGGGAGATGCCATTTCGAATAATTTCTGTTTCACCCAAAGTCCTTTGCTGAGGAGAGAATCCCTCTGGGGGAAAATTCCAGCCTGGCCCTCCTAAACATCCAAATACTAGGCCCCGTATTATCAGATTCCTATGTTACCACAGAGTTTCTCTCCTAGCATCTTGAGCTGCTCCGAGTTTAGGTTTCGCTCCGTAGTGGCAGCAAACTGCCAGCTCAGCACGGTGGACAGCTGGGCCCAAGTGGCAGCTGGTGGTTTGGAGAAGAACCGCTGGTTCTGTAAGAAAGAAGACGGGCAACACGATGGGCCTCAATAGGCGGGAAATGTCTTTGCTAAATGCAGGCCCTGAGCAGGCTGCCCCATGGGATCTGACGTATCAGGAGGGCTGGGATTTTAAGAATCTTAACAGGCAGCAGCCCAACCCACAAAGAGGGGATTGTAGAGTAAAAGTGAGATGGGTATGTCCGTTCTTACCATGGGGTCTTTACTGAGCATGATGAACCATAAAATGGAAGCCCAGGCGGGGGACATCTGATTGGGGTTAGAAACAATCACCACTGGCAAGGTAGAAGTCTAATGGAGAAAGATCATAATAGATGAAAAGAGCATAAATCTTTGCCCCATCTCAAGCCATCGAGAGGCAGGTTAAAAAAGGATCGAAGCTCTTTAAGGCAAAGCATGGTCACATTGAATTAACAACACAATGCTACAAGAGGGGCCCCACAACATGGCCATAACATGATTGTGTAGCTTAGTTTGCATAAAGGTTAACCTTGCCATGAAGCCCCATGTGGTAGCAAGTAAAGATGGGCACTAATCAACTCATGTTGCTTCATATGAAATGCACTGCATGGCACCACAGCTGCCACATGGACTCTCCCCCCCCCGCTGGCTGGCCCACTCACAATCTATCACACACTGCTGGGCCCCCCCTTCTCCAGCAACGGTCCAGTCTGGCCAGGAGTGTGGCCTGCCCTTCACCAGCCTCTCTGGCAGCCTACCCACTCCATGGCTGTGCAGGGGGAAATCCCTGTCCGGCCTCCTTTCCCATCTCCTCGTTGGGAGTGGCCAGCTGTTGGGAGGAGGCGGGAAAGGGCACGCGAAACTCCTGGCCAGACCTGGAGGCACCACCGGAGAAGGACCCCGGCAGCATGTGGTAGATTGTGAGTGGGCCCAGCTGGCTGGGGTGGGGTGGGGGAGGGTCTGCACAGCACCTGTGGAAGTGCAGCTCCGTCTCTAGCAGCAAGGCATGGTCAAGTCCATGCTCCACCACTCAACTGTTCTAGAAAGAATCACTGTTCTCAGGGCAACAAAAGGCTGACCAGACACTAGAGGCCCATAAATGCACAAGCCAACTCAGTACAGGAGACAAGTGGGTTCCCCCCTCCCGCCCCTTGACAAGATCTCTGGTTCTTCTCATCTAACAAACTGTGTGGAAAGGGAGACGTTCTGGCACTTGTTTCCACCTCCACTCCCCAGTTTTGTGAAGCATCAGAATGCAACTGATAACTTTGGGCTGCTCTTCTGTGACCACTTAGGTGTGGGGAAACCAGGGCCCTCAAAGCTATTTTTGCGGATACAGAAGCAAGCCTCCATGGCTCCCCACAAGTAAAGCAAGGCATGCTGCTTATGTGCCACCCCCCCCATGGTGCTCAAAGCACTCTCAGCAGCTAGAATTGTGGTGGTTTTCCTACTCCTGTAGGCAACTAGCTGCAGCAGGTTTTGTGTGAGAGTGATCATAGCCTTCCCTGACCTAGAAACTTGCCTGCCCCGCAAAAACAACAACAACAAATAAACAAATCCATATAAAAATGGACATTTTATCACTTCCTATTTTGATCTCTCCTCCCATAATTTTTGGCCATTTGGAGCCATTTCCAGGCCCACGGCAGGTACTGGGGCTGATCATTTGGCTCCTACCTCTCATCACCACTGCTCTCCTCCTGGTTCACGAGAACAGCCTTGGGCGAGAGTTTTGGTGAAAAGGTGGGGCATGCACAAATTAAGCACATAGATTTAAAAAGCAAAGCAAAGCGTACTGCTTATATACCACCCCATAGCACTTCAAGCACTCTCTGGGCGGTTTACAAGTTAATTATGCAGGCTACACATTGCCCCCCCCCAGCGAGCTGGGTACTCATTTTACCGACCTCGGAAGGATGGAAGGCTGAGTCAACCTTGAGATTGAACCCCAGGTCGTGAGCACAGTTTTGGCTGCAGTACAGCAGTTTAACCAATGCGCCACGAGGCTCTAAAAAAAACTGCAGTTCTCCAACAAATGGCCAGAAGGACAACTGTTTCTAGCCACTGCTAAGGCTCAGCAGGAAGGCTGATGACTATCCCTTGCCCTTCTTCTCTGTTATAGGAGTAAGGCCCCTGAACTGACAAGCCAGCCTGGGGCCAGGAGGGAAATCAGGCTGATCACACTGGGCCACCAAAAGGCACAGCCTGACATTACAGCGGTACCTTGACACATCAAAACGAGGCTCCTTGTCCTGCCCATAATATTTCTGATGCCTTCAGTGCGGTCTTTATACCTGTAGCTGGCATTTGATGCCTTGGTAGCAATAGTCCAACGTAAAGGTGATTATGTGCAACTCCTCCAGGATGGACAACAAACCCTGTGAGAGAGAAAGAGAAGAAGAAAGAGAGAGAGAGAGAGAGAATGAATGAATGAATGAATGAATGAATGAATGAATGAGGATGTGCAAAAAAAGGTCCAACTCTCCATATTAAAAACAGTGAAAGGTAGATCCTTCTTATTTCCTTTCAAAGGGAGAACAGAGGCTGAGAAAGAGTTATGTCACACTCATGTCAGCAGCAGGAGAAAGACCCAAATGGGAACACCTCACAGGCTCAAATTCAAGCTACCAAATTAGAAAGCAAAAGGAGCAGAGAACTAATTCCAACACGGCTCTTTACATGACAGAATACCTGCTAGAACTGTGGTTTTGTTCCTTCATTGGACTCCTGAACCCCCCTAACCAGCATTGGGCTCATAAGAGCTGTAAGATAAGGAGTAACTTCCAACACTCCTTAAATATAAATTAATGGAGCATCACATGCTTGAAAAGCAATTATTTCTTACAACCTAGACAGGGTGCCAATAATTTTGGCCAGTGTATTTTTGGGTTTCTGTGTGGGATTGTATCAGATTTGACTTTTATTCTGGTTTTTTGTGTTGTTCCAACGCAAACCAAAGAAATGAACATGTGCATACCAAAACATTTACAACTGCAACAATTTTCTGAGAGACGGGTTGTGTTTTCTTACAGAATTGCAAGGGTGCCAATATTTTTGACCATGACTGTATATGCTGACATGATTTCATAATTGCTTATGCTCTACTCTATTACTTACATAGTCCAAGGTACTTGGATAGATGTGACTTAACTGAGAGCTATTTTTAAATAATTTAGAAAGTATGCCCTTGTAATTATTTTTAAGTTATAGTCTTTATTGTATCACTCTTCAGCAACATATTATTTTTCTTAGAGCCTTTTAAAGCTTTGTTATTTATATTTTCCATTTAATTCATTAAGTTTTGATAGTTAAATTCCTAAAATACAGCTTTTTTACAGTTACGGTATGTTTTTTTGAATATTCAGTAAATAATTTAATAGGGAAAAATATAAACAACATATTTATATCTGCTTACATGTGCTTGTTCAATAAAAAGAAGAAAAGCAGAGATTTTCTTGGACATTCAATTTCTCTGTCTCGCACAGGGAAAAAAAGTTAAAGGATATTCAGAACGAAGTAATGAAGGACTGTCCTTTGCAAAAGGCAACTGAAAGATGGGACTTATTTTACAAATGGTTAGGATCACCAAATAATGCTTGAATAACATAGAATAAAATGTGGATTCAAATCTAGAAGGCAAAAAAGAGTAGAAAAGTAGAAATGGAATTTTGGGATGATAATGTGAATAGAATGGATGTTAATATATTTTTGTATCTCCTCTTCCTCATAACCCCAATCCCTCTTCCTTTTACCTTTTGTATCCCATACCCCAGAGGTCAGGGAACTTTTTTACCTTTTACCCCCCAAAATTTATATACGTTGACATTACCCCCCCCCCGGCTGTCACCGCCCACAGCCAACCGCCCGCCTCTGCGCTTGCCCGGGACCTGTGGCTGCTGCCCGAGCAGCCAATCTGGAGCCACCACGCCAGTGGGAAAGCGCATCCTTGGCGAGTGGGGCCGGGCACCGGCCATGAGCTCAGGTGAAGTGGGGCAGGAAGGGGGCCTCCTCCCCAGCGCATCAGGTGGATGGGTGCGGGCAGGAAGGTGAGCCTCAGCCAGGGCTCCGCTGGGCAGAGAGTCCAGCTGGCCTGGTACGCCGCCCTCGCCTCCACTTTGAAGGTGAGGAGGGCAGGCGGGCGCCCAGCATCATTGGAAATAAAATGCCTGGGGGTAAACTGCCTGCTGCAACCGTCCTCATTACCCCCAGGATTTTCGTTTTTACCCCATTTGGGGTAATTTACCCCTGTTCCCTGACCACTGCCACACCCTATCCCAAGTTATTAAAAAAAAAAAGGATATTCAGAACGAGTGAGTAAATTATACAAGGTGCAAAATATTCCTCTGGGTCACCCTGGGATGAATGCCAGCTGTGATGAACACAGGCTTCTGTTTTTCCCCTGGAGGTCTATAAAGTTCTGTGGGACTCTAAGGGAGAGGTTCAGATTCAGGCGTCAGTCTCCTTGACCTGACTAATTAACCAGGTTGGGAGGGGATAACAAAAACTGCACTCCAACGCCACCTGCAGGGCCACAGGCTCCCAAAGCCCTGAGTGACCATCATGGAAAGAAGAACGAAGGGGCTCACCTTCAGGCAAACTCACCTCGTTGACCCCTTTGCCGCCCTTGCCCGAGCCACTGCTCTTCTGCTCTTTCAGCATCTGCCGAGAAAAAGGAAAAGGAATCGCACATCCTTCAAGTTGGGAGCAACCATAGACCACGCATGTGGTCTTACCCCATTGCCTGCAGAAACAGCTAATGACTTCCTTACAGGCCACAGGCTTATAGCAGAATTCATTAGGAAAGATTTGCAAGTAATTGTTCAAAAGCAATTAATCAGCAAGAGAACCTGTATATGAAGCCAACCACACAATCACATAAAAAGGGAGGAAAGTGGAAGAAGTAACAGTAGTCAAGGTCAACTTCTATCCAATTTTAAGGGAACATCCTTTACATCTCACCTATGCACTTGACCCATAATCTGCCTGTAAGCAGAATCCATGCACTAAGTTATTTTTAAGACAAAACAACAAAGCAAGCACAATAAAAGGCAATCTGTCAGACAGATAAGGCCAATTTCTTTAGTTTCAGAGGCCAGCCTGTTCCCTACTCTTACAATCTGGAGGGCGGAAGTATATTTTGCCACAGAAACTGCCGTCACCTTGTGACACTCCTGTTGCTTAATCATGTCAACTTAGACTGCAATCTAATGTATTCAGGAGCAAGCCCCACTCCACTCCATGTACTCAGGAGCAAGCCCCACTCCACTCCACATGGTGCACAGCCACAAGACACACATTTAGATGTGTGTCATATTAAACAATCAGAACGTCATAGTTAGGAAGCTAAGAAAATACTTTGAGATCACATGCAAAATCCAACTGAGGAGGTACAGCATTAAAGATTGGGCTATATATCTCTAATTATATAGTCACAGGAACAGAGAGATATTGCAGGGGGATGTTCCTTTCATAGGTGCTCTCTGACCTCCTTCTCGAGTGTATAGTTTTCATCTTTATGTAAAAAGACCAGATATTTGGAAGACAAAACTACCTATTCAATTAAGTTAGCAACGTGAATTTGCTGCTGATTTAAATTGTTATACCATTTAAGAGGAAACACACCAGGATGGTCTTCTATTTTCACCAAGTCATACCAAATCAATTGGTTTACTTGTGTCTGAATTTTTTTGCCACATGGCATTGATCTACAAGAACGCCATTAGGGTAGTAGGTTGCTATTTCCCACTCCACCCAGCATGCATCACCGGAGATAACTCCCTCGTGCATTGTAACAGCCTCGCAGATATGTGCCATGGACTGCCAGTGGGTGCCCCCGCACCCCCAAGCTTGGGGAGAGTCTGGATTTTCAGCACCTTCTACCGCTTTAGTGGCATTTACCCGCAGCACCCCTCACTCCCTTCTTAATGTGAGAACGTTTTCAATTTTCCACACACGCACTGTCCTTTCCCCAGACCCGTACAATGTGCTTGAAGTCGCAAACAAGCTCCTGCACTTGAGGGTTGTCCATTGTCAAGGTTTTGGTGTTTGACGGCAAGATGTTGAATCTCCGGAACCTTTAAAGGAAACAGAGAATGATAATGAGGTAATACGTGCACACGACCCATAATATAGAGGTTTGATGTCATCTTCTAGTGGACATAAATTGATACCATCACATTGAAATGGACTTTGACTGGTGTTACGTGTTGTTCACACAAAGAGGGAGGGACTCCCAGAACCCCAACTCCCTGCCTATAAACCAGGGCTCAACTCCTCTCCTCTCCTGCACGGCTGCCACACACACCCCTGCCAAGTTCCATCTTAGCTCTGTGGTTCTGTTCACGGGGACCAGCTCTGGAACTAAGGCTGCAGTTTTAGACTAGCCATTGCCAAAACAAACCATTCCTGAGAAAGTGATTTTTTTATTGCTTTGGTTTCTATAAGTGTTTTTAAATAGACTGCATGTATGCACGACAAGAATCATGATAACAAAACAAGCTTCCTACTGCACAAACCCATATGAACAGAAATAAGGACTATAGTGGAATACTAACCAAGAATATATAATTCCAAGCAATTTCCAGTGCTCACAGGTTGTCCTTGTGAACTTACCAGAGGACTGGGGCCATGGCTATGCCCCATCAGCCATGACAACCATGCACCCTACCCCCCCACCCCCGACACAAAAAACTCACTGCTCTCCAGTTTTTCCCTGGCTGCCTCTTACCCTCCGAAATCAGCAGCATCCCTACAAAGAAACGAGAAAGATAAAAAAGACTGATCAATGGATGATGGAGCTGCTGCAGCTCCCTCTCAGCTGTGCCACTGCATTCTCCAGCACTTCACTGTGAAGAACTGGGTGGCTGGGTGCTTTTATAGGACAACACACCTGTCAATCTCAATCTTCACCTCCGCAGAATGGTTTCGATCCAGCAACTTCACCAGGAGCCTGGAGAACAACAACAACAACCAGTTACAACCCTTGTGACCAAAAGTGGTGGCCTTCTATGGTTTTTGAACGGACCTCTGCCCCCCCATCTCCTTGCAAAACCAAGGTTCTAGACAAGGACCTGCATTACTCTGCCAGCCTGCAGCAAAAACAAGGGCCGAGCACAGCAGATGGAACACTGGGTGCAGCACTTCTAGAGCTATATTCCAGAGATAATGTAGTAACCAAAGAGGCACTAAATAACATCAAGTGCCTGCCTGCATTGGAAGAGTTGGACAGCGAACCAACTTTAGCAGAAACAAAAGCGGCCTTGGATTCCCTCACCTCCAGAAAGGGACCTGGGAAGGATAACATCCCTTCTGAAGTGCTGTAAAGAGATCATCACCCCCAAGGTGTATGAAATTTTTTGTCGTTGCTGGAGGGAAGGTGGCGTACAGGACATGAAGGATGGAAACATCGTCATATTGTATAAGAACAAAGGAGACAGGGGCGACTGCAATAACTACCGTGGCATCTCGCTTCTCAGCATTGTAGGGAAGCAGCTGGCCCGTGTTGTGTTGAAGAGGCTCCAGGCGCTTGCAGACAGAGTCTATCCAGAATCACAGTGTGGATTTCGAACTAACAGATACACTACTGAGATGGTATTCTCCCTCGGACAGTTGCAGGAGAAATGTAGGGAACAACAACAGCCACTCTTTGTGGCCTTCATAGTTTGCACAAAGGCCTTTGATTTGGTTAGCAGGGACGGCCTTTTTAACATCCTTCCCAAGATTGGATGTCCACCTCAATTCCTTAAAATCATCATGTCCTTTCATGATGGAATGAAGGGCACTGTAGTTTTTGATGGCTCAGCATTAGATCCCTTTGACATCCGAAGCGGAGTGAAACAGGGCTGTGTCCTCGCACTGACTATGTTTGGGATCTTTTTTGCCATCATGCTGAAGCACGCCTTTGGAACTGCAACAGAAGGCGTCTGTCTCCAGACTAGATCAGATGGAAAGCTCTTTAATCTCTCTAGATTGAGAGCGAAGACCAAAGTTCAGCTGAAATGCATGCAGGACTTCCTCTTTGCTGATGATGCAGCTGTTGTTGCCCACTCTGCTGAAGACCTCCAACGACTCATGAATCGCTTTAGCAATGGATGCCAAGACTTTGGATTAACAATTAGCCTGAAGAAAACACAAGTCATGGGCCAGGGCGTGGACTCACCTCCCTATATTACCATCTCCATTCAAGAATTGGAGGTTGTTCATGACTTTCTGTACCTTGGCGCAATGATTTCTGACACTCTCTCCTTACATGTTCAGCTGGATAAACTCATCAGCAAAGCAGCTACCATGTTTTCTAGACTCAAAAAGAGAGTATGGCTTAATAAGATGCTGACGGCATATACCAAGATCCAGGTCTATAGAGCCTGTGTCCTGAGCACACTCCTGTACTGCAGTGAGTCCTGGACCCTTTGTGCATGGCAGGAGAGGAAGCTGAACACCTTCCATATGCGTTGTCTCCGACGCATTTTTGGTATCACCTGGCAGGACAAAGTTCCAAACAGAGTAGTACTAGAACGAGCTGGAGTTTTTAGCATGTATACATTACTGAAACAGTGATGTCTACATTGGCTTGGGCATGTCGTGAGAATGGCTGATGGTCAGATTCCAAAAGATCTCCTGTGCAGAGAATTAGTGCAGGTAAATCAGCCCAGAGGGAGACCACAGCTGTGATACAAGGATATGTGAAAGCGGGACCTGAAGGCCTTAGAAATGGACCTCAACAGATGGGAAACCTTGACATCTGAGTGCTCAGCCTGGAGGCAGGCACTGCTTCATGGCCTCTCCCAATTTGAGGAGACCCTTGTCCAGCAGGTTGAGGCAAAGAGGCAGTCCCAAAATCAGCAAAATCAGGGATCTGGACAGGGGACGGATTGTATTCGTCTTCAGTGTGGAAGGGATTGTTACTCTCAAATTGGCCTTCTCAGCCACACTAGACGCTGGTCCATGTCCTTCATACAGAGCACGTTACCATAGTCTTTCGAGACTGAAGGATGCCCAATCTAAAAGGTGTTGCAGAACGATTACGTATTACACTGATAGAATTGTGACTTGATGTGTTTTTGCATTATATTGCAGCTTTAATCTAACTAGCAAAACAGAATAGCGCATGGAGGGGGCGGTGAGAACAACAGCTGCCAGTCTGAAGGCCCGGTTTTGCAACCTCCCTCGAGACCCAATATGGGTCACTCATAACCCTGCTGCCAAAATGAAATTTGACACAAAGAGGGAAAAGCCATAATCCCAAAGACCCTTTAAAAGAGGCATTTTTTTTTTGCTTTGTGTTGAAACTGACAAGCATGGTGGATGGCAACATTCAATACCACCGTTTGCTCCTGAATTTTGGTGGCACTTTGGGGTACATAGGGCGAATTGCCCGAGGAGCGGCATACAAACAGCTGCGGAGGCTGCATACTCTTCATTTTTCTTGTTTTATCTTGCAAGTCACCCAAAGAGATTTAGTCAAGTACATGTGCATACATAAATAAACAAAATAGACATAAACTTACCTGAGCATTCTGCAAGAGACCCAAAGAGGTCCCTGGCCATGTGTTGCTATTAAAAAAAACCTGGGATGTCTTTTATAACACACTTTTATGGTACAGGTCTCATGTACCTCACACTTATAAATCAAAGGAGCAAGAAAATCCAGCAGGTTATTCAGAATCAGGGTGGATAAAAATCAATGATGTTAATTAATGAATCAAATTGATTTAAATTTAAAAACTAAATTTTCTAAATTTACATTGTCAAAAGAATACTATTTTTTAAAAATTGATTTAAATCATATCTACCCTGGATCTGGAACTAATCTGGATCTGAAACTTAAGGATCAGATCATCCTTCTTTTCACCATTAGGGTTCCCCTTCATTCGGGATGAGACCACGGCTGGAGTGAGAAAATTCCTCACCTGACACGGACAGAAAACTTCTGGCTAGTTTTCAGCACCAATGGACGCCGGTTGGGGAAGGGCATGCAAGGCTGACTCTCTACCACGAATGCACTGCAGACAAAAGCCAAAAGGTATTATTAGCCTGAATCCACAACTTATCGAGGCTCTGTCTCCAAGGCCCTTGGACTCTTGGATACCTTTTCAGAAGGAAGACAATTTGCTCCTGGAGACGATTTTTAAGCTGGGGCAACTGGACAGTGAGAGGGTCTCCTTTGTAGGTCAGCTTTTGGGGCAGCGCCTCCATTATGTGCAAGAACTGAAGCAAATGGAAGAGGTCCTCAGCGTGTGCTGTGAACCTGCAGACACACACAAAGGAGGGAAGGTCATAAACAAGATAGATGTGTTACTGAAGAGGGCATAAGAGCTGAGCAGGCATCAAGAAGCCCGGGATGTAGCATGCAGGGACTAGACTGTGGACACGCGCGCACGTATGTGTTCAGACTGAAAAACCACACATAGTGCACCAGGCCTAGAACAGCTTTCAACTTTCACATGTTAAAAATGGTGAATTAGAGATGGGGGTATTTGTATCTGTATGTGAATACCTCCACAAAGGTGGACCTAACAAGGGTCCAGCACCCTGGGACTGGACTGCCCACTTGCCCTTCCGCTGTTGCTGCGGGCTCCGCACTCCCTATCACTCCGGAGTTTGCGGACTGCAAGCCACTCCTGGCAGGAGATGGGAGGATGAGCCCCATTGCAAGATCGAAGAGTGGCTCGCAGACCGCGAGCTCCGGAGCGATAGGAAGGGAGTGCGGAGCCTGAGGCAACAGCAGAAGGGGAGTGGGCAGTCTGGCCCCAGGAGGGTGGACCCTCGTTATCTCCACCTGTGCGGGGGCATTCGTATTTGCATACAATATGAATACTCCCATCTCTACTCCAGAGATAATGGGCAGTGATCTCCATAACACCTGTGGACATGGCCAGTAGTGAAGGAGCATGAGAGCAGAAGTCTAAAACATCTGGAAGACACCAGCATGGCAATATGGAAAGCAAAATGCCCTTTTTGCCCTTACAGAGAACAAAGGAAGAAATCCTGGCCAGCACATCTAGTGGTGAAAGCTTCTGGGAGCTGCAGTCCAAGAACATGTGGGCACTGAAGTCCAGGAACCACTGGGCTGAAAGGTTACTTTTAAAATATCGGAGAACAGGAATTCTCCACTTGGCTGCATTGCCTGTCCTACTGTATGGGAGTCCAGCTTAAATACAATCCCATTCATCCAACTAGCAACTGCACAAACAACCTTTTCAAAATTAAAAGAGCAAAATTAAAAGACAGACAGACAGACAGACAGACAGACAGACAGACAGACAGACAGACAGACAGACAGACAGACAGACAGACAGACAGACAGACAGACAGACAGACAGACAGACAGACAGACAGACAGACAGACAGACAGACAGACAGACAGACAGACAGACAGACAGACAGACAGACAGACAGACAGACAGACAGACAGACAGACAGACAGACAGACAGACAGACAGACAGACAGACAGACAGACAGACAGACAGACAGACAGACAGACAGACAGACAGACAGACAGACAGACAGACAGACAGACAGACAGACAGACAGACAGACAGACAGACAGACAGACAGACAGACAGACAGACAGACAGACAGACAGACAGACAGACAGACAGACAGACAGACAGACAGACAGACAGACAGACAGACAGACAGACAGACAGACAGACAGACAGACAGACAGACAGACAGACAGACAGACAGACAGACAGACAGACAGACAGACAGACAGACAGACAGACAGACAGACAGACAGACAGACAGACAGACAGACAGACAGACAGACAGACAGACAGACAGACAGACAGACAGACAGACAGATAAGAAGTAGAGGAAAAGGGTGCATGGGAAGGCCCTCCTTCACTTTCTGCTTGTTCCCAGGGAAAATTCATTTCTCTTCCTTCTACTATGAGACCTGCAGCTAAGCTCAGAGCAAACAGGGAAGCCTGTAGAGGAGGTGATAAATTATGTCATCATCATCCATGCTACTCAGAAAGTCCTGGTTTGGTCCTGTGAGCCCTGGTTCCCCTATACATCAGTGGCAAGAAACATTTCCATCAGTGAGTCTCACCATGTCTCCAGTTGTCCTAAGCTGGTATCACAAGTGTCTCCAATACATGCCCGTCGTTGGCGATCTTTCCAGGCATCCCGCTCTTCCAGCAGCAATTCCCTGAGAGTGTCAGAGCGACCCAGCAGTTCCTGAATCCGGGCCAGTACATCCTGTTGGGAGACCTAAGATAAGTGGAAGTGGCTTTAGGGCGCAGGATGGGAGACTGGGAGAGGGAATGTGCCATCTTGGAGTATCTCTGCTTTAGCAAGGATATTGGAGGAAACAGGGACTTGGAAAAATGACTTTTTTTTTACTACTCCCAGAATATTCCAGCCAACATGACAATGGAATCAGAGGGATTCTGGGAGCTGTGGTCCATGAAAGTTACTTTCCCAAACCCACCAAAGATACAGAAATATTTGCCTGAAGGGGCTGGACCTATTTTCACCAAACCCAAGGTTACAGAGTTCTGATGGGTGGAGCTCAAACTTACCTTGCGGCAGACGTTCAAATTATTTAACATGACTTGCATTTCCCGTGTTCTTTGGGACTGAACAGCATCAGTACTGGTGGTTGTTCTTTCTGAAACACAGGAAGACATTTAAGACAGCAACGGGCAACAGGCCCTGTCCAACAAATCAATTCCCAGCCTTTCTGCTAGGAAAGCAAGGGTGTCAGCAAACTACTTTTACAAGCAAACAGGGAACATACCACTGGGATGTGAAAATTAACCAGTTTCATTTGTAATGGCATTTCTCAGAATCCCACAGGCATTTCCATCTGATCTTGATTTCTTATCAGGTTGGGAGATTCCTTTTTCTTTCTTTCCACACAGAAATTTGTGTGTATTCTTTTAATGCAAACATATACACATTTTCCTATTACATGCATATTGGTCATAACAATTTTTGAAATATAGGTATGATTCTGTGCAGACACCCCCACGCACCCAAAATACATTAAAAGTATCTGAAAAGTGGAATTTCAAGGAACATGCACTCTGCTGCAGGGCCACTCAGAACTCACACGACGGGTATTTTCACAGAGAAATGTAAACCGAGCTTCTTTTCTATTTCTAGACTCCACATATTTGTTTCACAAAAGAATTGCTGGGATTGGGGCCATGACAGAAAAGCTGGTGGTAGCACCAGAAAGATATGCAGGCCCCCCCACTCCCTTTACTTAGCAGAAGGAGAAAGGTGCTTTGGTTTTCCTGCTTTTGCTGTAACAGCTCCCCTTCTGAAATTTGTGGCAGAGGTTACTCTGTAAAATTAGTAAGTTATTCAGCCTTTACTAGGGAAGTCAGGGGCACTATAGCATCCTACACTCATGCTATGGTTCGGCACATCAGAAGATCAGGGGTGGGGGAAGCAGGCACTCTGCTCAGATAGGAGGAAAGAAGAATGGAAAATCTTCAGTTTTGTGAAATCTACTCTGCCATTTACCAAACCATGAGATCTACCAACTGCAGACAGTTGCAAAAAACTTAGAATGAAATAAAAGTCTAGGTGCCAAAATTTCTTTCAGGCACCAGAAGTGAGCCAGGCCTCATAGTTTCACACCAACCCCAACTATCAGCTCTTGGTGACCTCAAGCTTTCTACTCTTTAGTACTATAATTTAGAGAGAAGAGAGAGAGAGAGAAATCATTTTGTTCTTGCCACTGTTCGAAGGGAAGTAAGGAATCCTAGTTAATCTATCACAAACCAGCCATCAATGCACTGCTAGGTTCTGACGAACCTCTTGCCCACCTCTCTGTGAAAATATCTCCTTGAGAGTCCCTGACGCCGGAGGACAAGGTCCCTCCTCCCAATTTTTCCATGCTTTCAGCCACACGTGGCTTCCACCCAGAGTTTCCCCTCCCTCACCTAATATCCTCTGTGTTTGTAAACGGAAACCACAGGTGTCCTCTAGCAATTCAAGTTGATCTATAGAAGTTCTCAGACCCTGCAGGATAGAACGAAGGATCACACTCAGACAATAGCAAACACATCAGACATGACAAGCAAATAGGTAGGGGAGAAGGTGTGCCCTGCCCTTGATAACGATTCATTCACCCAGTTCTGTGAATTCCAGTCAGACATTTCTATGCTTCCCCAAACTCCCACAAACACGCACAGAGCGTTGCTTACTTGCCAGGATAGCTACTGCCCATTTACCATGTGGAGGTGGTGGTGCTGGTGGGGAGACCAAGCTGCCATTTTGCAAGAGACAACTGCATGTGGTGGAAGGGGATGTAGGCCAGCAACCATGGGGAGAACCCATGACTTGGGCCTCTCTTAGGCATTCAAATATTGCCTTAGCAGCTTCCAGTATTCTTGCTACTGCAGCTTTTGAGGGAACAATGGAGAATATGCCATAAAGTTGCTGCCACCGCCACCAAACATGTTGCAGGGAGTAAAAGGGGAATAGAGGCCTTTGAGCCAAGGAACAAATCCCCCTGTGTCAGAAATGTACACGGCCAGAAATTTACCATGTACTGGAGAAGCAAGAATCAAATTCAAGCATAATTTCCCAAGCATGTCATGAATTAGGTTGTGTCAAAGGTGTTCCTAACATCTCATTTTTCTAGGGTTGCTTTTCCTTCTGTGCCTGCATGAAGTGAAGATGACTAGACTCCCAAATTTAATCTAATCAGTTCTTGCCATTTGACTGACGTAATGCGTTGGGCTGTAGGAAACAGCTTATCTTAAGAACCACAGTCTCGCCTCCTGCACTGCGGCTCCCCCACAACCGCCAGGATCTGAGCTCTGTGCCACAAAGAAGCTGTGACCATCTGTACCCTACAGGAGTAAGATTTCCAGAGGATCTTATCTACACCTCCCTAAATCCCTGATCATTGACCATACTGGCTGGGGTGCTTCTGGGATCTGTTAAAAAACAAAACAGAAGATATCAGGATGCTTACTAATAGCACACAGTGTTTCTGCAAAATTACCACAGGTGCAGTTAGAGCTGGAATAACAAGCTTGGTGTTGTGAGGATACATTTCCCATATGGCCACACCATACTTTGCTGCATGACTAGAGAGTTGAGAGGAGCAGAGAGAATACAGGGAAGGGTTGGCAATGCTTCTTTTTATTAAAAATGTTTTATTCTTATAAATTATGTAAGATGATGACATAATGATCTAAGGCCATACATTTCCCACCAATACAAAAGCAAACTTTCCTAAACCTTGGGGAAGATTTGGATGTTTGCTTGCAGTAAGCATCCAGCTATCCTCTGGTTTTTTTTTTTTTAAAAAAACAACAAATCCCATAAGCCACCAGTCAGGATGGCCATCCATCAGGCACGGTCCTCCAAACGTTGTGTCCTCCAATTACCTATCAATCCCAGCCAACACAGCTAATAGTACAGGATGACAGAAGATGCAGCTCAAAATATTTGGAGGTTCTCTACCTCTGCTTTAGAAGGAATGGTGCTGAGGATAAGTGTATCTCTAGGGCTCTTCTGAAGAACTGCAAAGATGGGACCTGATACATTCATTGGAGCTCCCTCCGTGCTAGAGCAGGCGTACGAATAATTACGCACCATCAAGTAAATTCTGACTTATGGTGTTTCCTAAGTAGAGCCTACTCAGAAGTGGTTTTCCATTCATTTCTCGGGGTGGGGTGGGGGCACTTCTGGAATTGTGCAGCCTGCCCAGGGCCATTCAGACTGCTTTTCTCTCAAGAGGCCCAGTGGGGACTTGAACTTCCTGGCTCTCCAGGCAGACACCTAATCACATGGTACTGCATGCAAACAGTGTGGTTTGCAGTGACCATAAATTAAAACTCTAAAGAACTCAAAAACTTCTGCTGCAAACAACAAGAGCACTACCAGCAGAAAAGCAAAAGCACCCAGCTTAAAGGGTAAAAGATGGGCAGACTTCCCCAAACCACCAAGTCACGGTGCCCTATATGCTCACCTGAACAGTCCTTCGCATCTCGTCTAGCCGTTTCTCAATGTTGTGCCTCTGGCTAGAAGTCATGGAAGCACCACTTGGGGGCTCCACTGCTGGCTGCAGGGACAGGGAGACGGGAAAAAAAAGAGAATCTGTAACACATTCTAACTGGCCAAACTCTTTTCACAAACAAAACAATGCTTGGGCTAACATTCCTTCTTTTTAAATAAATAAAAGTTTCTAGTCCTAAGTGTTGTACAACTGCTTTGAAAAATCCTTGATTCCTTTGCTGAAGAGAAAGACTGTCTGAACTGTATGTGAATTTTTCATATTTTCCCTAATCTCATTTGGTCACCCTTATACACCCTGGCTCTTTTTCAGCTCATTTATCTATGCTGTTCTTCCTCCCAGTGCAACTCACAAGGGGTGGGGGTTGGTGGGGGTCAGATTCAGCAAACAAATATCAAGTTTAGCACTCAATTGCAAACTCAAAGCATCCATGAGAGAAATAAAATGTAAAAAGTTAAAAGAACGAGAGAAAGAGAATAATGAGAGACAGAGAAACCTTCTTATATAATTTAGTGACTAGCACAATTAGTTTTCGGTGCAAATCTTGAGAAAGCAGGATGCATTAATATTAGCCTGGAAGTGGGATTCTAAACAGAGGGAGAAAGGCAAGGTAAGTGGGATAGCAGCACTCAACAATTGGGCTTGCGGGTAAGGGATACTATGCAACCGACAGGAGAACATGCATTTATTATTTGTGTATTATTTGCAATTACTCTATATCCAAGCTTTTCTCCATGAGTTAAAGGTGAGGTATATGGTCCCCCCCCTTGTTGCCCCCACAAACTCTGCAAAGCAGGTTAGGGTGTGTGTGTGAGAGAGAGAATGACTGAGGTCAATCAGTGAGTGTCATGGCTCAGTGAGGACATGAAACTGGGACTCTCCAAGTCCCGTTCTTTTATTTTTAACCGTGACATCACACTGGTTCTAGCTGAACACCTCCCTCTCCTTTCTTTTGCCCCCATTGTGCTTCACTTACCTGAGAGCCAGCTGAGGCTGCCAACAGGATTGCTCGCTCCTGGGTCAACAGACCATCAATGACAGCAGCCAACTTCTCCGGATGATCTTGATACATGTACTGAGACAAAAGATACAGCAGGATGGAATATGGAAGACAACAGCCACACCTCTTCACATGATCTGTGGCAGAACTTTCTACCTCAAAACACATAACTCACCACTCCTTCACATATCATCCTATAGTATTCCCATACACCATTTTTAACATGTGATTACATTTTTATGGCCCTTTGCCTTAACCATTTCTCTTCCTGAACCTAGACACGTTTAATTTTTCTTTTTTAATTTCTCTTTTAGCTCAGAAAAGAAACCCTTCAAAATTAAGATAACAAATGCCCTGAAATGTAAAAGCCTTGAGAAAATTGCAAGAAATAATTCTGGAAGGGAAAATATTTTTCTCTAGATTATTTTCACCATTTTTGGTGGAAAAGTTGAAAACTTTGTACAATATAAAAAAGAAGGCTTTAATGAAGCCTCTCCCCCCTTCTTTTGGAATAAAGCCAAAATTATCTAAGTTTTATTCACACAAAACCAAGAACTGATTAGCATGACAATATGCATGTTAGACAACCTACAGAATTAGGGAACTATAATTTGTGTATATAGTGCAAACACAGGGCATGCAGATCCAGGTGGCATTTATGCACTTGGTAGATAACTGACATCTTCAGAAAAGAACATACAGAGACCTTCATTGCTTGTGAACTGATGCTCACCTTGTGTAGATGACTGTTTGCCCTTTGTAACCTTTGCAGGAAACAGTCACACAAGAAGCAAGACTGCCTTCATCCAAATAATACATTTTATCATAGAAAAATGCAGTTGAACGGGGCCTACAAGGCCATCAAGTCCAACCCCCTGCTCAGCACAGAAATACAATCAAAGCATATCTGCCAGGTGATTATCTAAGTTTTTCTTGAATGGAGCACTCACCAACACCCAAGGTAAGATGGTTCCACTGTCGTACTGCTCTTACAGTTAGGAAGTTTTTCCTGATATCCAACTGAAATCTGGCTTCCTTTAACTTGAGCCCATTTTATTTTAATTTATTACACAACATGTGGTTTCTATATTCATTTTAACTACTTCCTTCAATTGTTTTCAATATTTTTAGTTTCCTGGAAAACCGCTCAGGAAAATTCTGTTCTTTGCCAGGACTTCCAACACTTATGGAAATGTAACACCTCCAGTTCTAGTCCACAAAAAGTTATGTCACAAAACAGCACCATAGAATGCCTGTTTATTTAGATATCATTGAATTCAATGGGGTTTACTTTCAAGTAAACACACAAGGGATTCCTGCCAAGATCAGTTGATCTTTACTGTGCTGCTGGCCGTTGTCCTGAGGCGTTTCAGCATGCAGTACACAGTTATTTCAAAGTATAAACAGCCACAGCCAATTGAGGGATTCATTACTTATTCATGCGCACAATGGGAAGTGAAAAACTGAAAAATCTGATCTTCTTGGGTTTGTGCCTTCTGCGTCCTGTTAATTTAACAACTAACTAAAGAAGAAGAAGTGGGAAAATAGTTCTAGGTTTAAGGAATTATCTTGAAAAGTGACAAGACTGACTTGCTCCTATTTTAAAAAAAAACCCTGCCATGTTATTTTGTCTCTGCATGATGGCAAAAAGAAAGAAAAAACATAAAAACCGGCCTTTTATTTTGCCTTTTCTTCTTTTGCCAACGTGACTTGCTACAAAAGTGTATCAGCTATTTGATCATCTGTTTTTAACAACTCTAGGCCAGACTGAAAACCGAAGTAACTAGATTTAGCTTCACTACTTTAGAAATTCTTGGCTTGCTCTTCCTTCCTTTTCCCCCCACAATTAATGTTCTCTTCAAAAAAATTTTTTTAAAACCAACTCTACAAGAAAGAAAAACCAATTTGACATGGATTGAATTTCCATGGATGTATATCATCATCATCATCATCTTAGAACTGCAAAGCTGGAAGAGACCCTATGGTTCATCAACTCCAGCCCCTGTCAAGGAAGAACAGTGGGGAATCAAATTCATAACCTCTGGCTCCACAGCCAGATCTTCATGTACTGGCTATATATCATCTTACATTGCACTCAATGTCTCAGAAAGTACTTCACAAACATTTTTTTAATAATAAGCAAAATTAAATAGATTTCTAAAAGTACAGAACTAAGCAGTTTTTGAAAATCAGTAGATAATACTAATATCCCAGGGCAACCTTCTCTGATGGCTTCAGACAGCTTGGACAAGGCCAAAATGAATGAAGAATCCACCACCATGGGAGAGGTTACTTCTGGAAAAGCATCACACTGGAACTGCAGTCCATCAATGCTCCCTCCCACAGGAGGCCAGCCTGGCTCCATCTTTGCTGACCTTCTGCAAGCAGATGAAGACCTTTCTCTTCAGGCAAGCTTTTCTTTAGCGACTGAGTGTCTAGGAGTTTTTAAAATGGGATGGTTTGTATTTTGTTGCTCCTAAACCTGTTTTTAGTAATGCTTTTGCCTAATGTTTCTTCAATACAGTATAATGTTACTAATCCTTTTTTATATTTGAATAATTTTCCTTTTGTTAGCTTTTAATATTGTGTTTTTAATTATATAAGCTGCCTTAGGTCCTTTTTCAGGAGAAAGGTGGGATAAATATAAATAGATAGATAAATAAATTAAATAAATAAACACAATGTGAAGCTCCCCCATCTGGCCAGCCATCACAGCTGCTGCTTGAACAACTTGCAGGACCAGAGCACAGCAACTTTGGCAAGTTAGGCAGGCATATTTTCCCTCCCCTGGTCTTTGGAAGGTCGTAGAACTTTCCAAAACTTCTGCCCATCCCAACAACAATTCATCCAAAGAGCCTCTGCATTCTAAACGTAACCTCTCCTCCTCAGGGACTGTTCAGGACTTTAAACGCCTTTTAAAAAAATGCACATGACAAGCAAACTTTTGTATAAGATGCAAACCACTTCCCATGAGCCTTTTTAGGGGTGGCAATCTGCCATCTGGGAGAAAATAAAACAGGATGCTGGGAGTTTGGAGGGGACAGACTGGTGGCTCTGGGAAGCCACTTTTGGCCCTTTGCCTGTCCTTGTCCCAGGGCAGTAAATATCCTTGGGCTCTGTTCTATCTTTGCCCATCTGAGTTGGCCATGGGGCAATGAATGGCTATAAAGAAACCCCTGTTTAGGTTCCGACTTTGCCTGAGCAACAACAGTCTTCATTCATATGAAGCTCAGCTCAGACTTCCAATCTGCTTTCTCAGCTCCCTGTTTCCCAGCTCCCTTCTGAACTCTCTTTCTGTCTGAGCTCTCTCTCCTTCTCTCTCTCTCTCTCTCTCACACACACACACACCATGTAGTATCTCTCTCACACACACACACACACACCATGTAGTACAGAGTCTACACCTGAAGTTGGAGTTTGGAACGATGCAGATTGTGTTTCACCACTATTTTAGAACTGTCTTCTTCGTTGAGCTCAAGGCGTCCCAGCTCATCATCCAACATATCCTGCATCGTGTGGAAAAGGCAGCAGGCCTGTGAGGAGTCGGAATGGGCTGCGTATCTCCTAAAACACAAACAAAAGAGGAAAAGCCCTGGCTTCAATGCACAAGAATGATGTAGACACTGGCAGGCAGATTATCCAGGCACACCTGGACAAGCATATGGAAGCAGGGTGAGGAAAACCAAGGCAGCTTCTCTTCCAAATCAGGATTCCACTGTTTGGATCACAGCCTATGTGGTCCTGAAGCTGGTACGAGCAAAGGCAGATCAACTGGCCCATAGACAAAACCATCTGAGCTGGATTTAGGAGCGGTCCGCCACTCGCTGAAGAGATCTTCTTCCAGTCGAGACAAAGCAGTCCATGTGGAAACGCCTGACAAAGGATTCTGCAAATCCCTTCCCAGAAGACGCCTTGTGGTTAAAGGCAGATGATGCCACCATGCTTCTAGTGGCGTGAACAGTGATGCCCCAGAGCAGCCTTGAACCAGAACTCTGGAAGCACAGACTGATGCAATCAGCCACCTAGAGAGAGTAGGTTTAGAAAAGCCTTTTCTCCCATGGTAGAAAGTTGAAGGACACAAACAAAGCATATCTCTGCATGAAGTGTCTAGACCAGGGGTCCCCAACCCCCAGTTCGTGGCCTGGTGCCAGTCTGTGGGCTTCCCAGGACTGGGCCGTGGAGACAGATCTCCATCCCCCCCCGCATGCACGCACAGTGGGTGTCATGCTCGTGCGCATGTGCACGCGCAACACACCCATCCGCAAGTGTGACACATGCCCTGCAAGCACAACATGCACCCCACAAGCATGGAGGTGCCGCCCCCCTCAACATGCACCCCACAAGCATGGAGGTGCCTCCGCCCCCCCCCCAACCGGTACACGGTTCCAAAAAGGTTGGGGACCGCTGGTCTAGGCCATTTGAGATTTCTTCAACTGGACAAGAGAACCAAAATTCCACTATGGGTTTTAGTTCTCTCTCTGTCCCTTCTTCTCATATATTTATACCTGAGACAGCAAAATCACACACCTATTATACCAGAACCCAGGGTCATTTAATTAAATTGAAAGGTATGGCATGTTAGGACGGAGAAGGAAGTGTTCATTCACTCAGCACATGGTTCAACTATGAAATCCACTCCCTTGAGCCACAGTGATAGTCAAAAACCTGGAACGAGATTTTCATATTCTGCCTCTCTTCCAACCAGCTCAAGGAGGTCCACATGGCTTTCCTCCTCCCTACTTCATATTTTTTACAATTCTGTGAGATAGAACTGAAGAATGTGACCATCCCAAGGACACCCAGTGAATTTCATGATGGTCTTGAACCCAAATCTTCCAAGTCCCAGGCTGGCACTCCAACCAGTATATTACCTGAAAATAAGCCCTAGTATGATTTTTCAGGATGCTCGTAATATAAGCCCTACCCCCAAAATAAGCCCCAGTTAAGTGAAACCCTGCCCTCCACCCTTGTGCAGCAACCAGAAGATGACATGACTGTATTTGAATAACTGTAGATTATTGTACATGGGGGAAAAATAAAACATCCCCTGAAAATAAGCCCTAATGCATTTTTGGAGCAAAAATTAATATAAGACCCTGTCTTATTTTAAGGGAAACATGGTATAACAAAAACAGTGATAGCTATGTTGGCACACAAACATTTTCAAAATTCCATACCAAGGAAATAGTTTTATAGGCTAATGAGAAGGACAAAACGGGGCACACAAAGATACACAAGTTTTTGACAACATTTTCTCCTCATCAAATGAGAGGATAAAAGCAAGCACAGAAAAATAAGCACATGCTGGGGGGGGGGCAGAAGGGCTGATCTCAAATCCTTCTTGCCTGCTGTTTCAGGATGCAAGAGGTGTTGCAGATAAACAAATGGGTTTCTTCAAATTAAAACAGTGGGGGTCAATTTCAGTTGGGATAGCATACAGACTCACTGAGAGCTAGGAAAAAAGAAACATGAGGCTTTCTATTTTAGACAATCCGAGTATTGCACAGCAAACTCAAAGCTGCACATTTCTTCCCAGAGGTAGTATGTAACTTTTAGAACTGTAACTCACCAGACCATCTGGGATGTAACTCACAGAACTGCAATTCACAGGGGGAATGGAAACGCCAATTACAAAAGAAGGGAGAAGGGAGCCTGCATTCTTAGCAGAGGCAAAAAGGTCTTACCAGTCCTGATCCTCAATCCAGTGGGACAGGTACTGTCTCACTTCCATGGGCAAGGAATCTTCCAAGTACAGGCAGTGCACCTGATCCAAATATACGCTATCCAATGACTGGATCTGCTGCCATAGAGCCATACTGGGAGTCGATACTGACCTCTTCACACCGACCAAAGCCTAAGAAAGCAAGTCAGGACATCAGGAGCTGGAAATACAGGAGTTCTGTTGATGGGCATCAAACAACAAAAAGAGTAACAGACGACACTACTTGAGTTGACATACACTTTTAAATCGAAGAATTTCAACAATTCTACTTTTGAACAATGTTAAGTCACAATATGTGCAACTACAGTATTAGAATTACTCATTTCATTTGACCCACTTCCAATCAATCTATCTAGCACAGATTGCCAATAGAAAAACAAGTGAATTCTAGATCAAATCAAGCCTAAATTCTCACTAGAAGCTAAAATGACTAAAGCAATCATATTTTGGGCATATCATGAGAATAAAAGACCTGCAGGAAAAGAAAATCTCATCAGGAAGAGTGGAAGGCAGTAGTAGGAAGAGAGGAAGACTTAACATAAAATAGATTGACTCAATAAATGAAGCCATGGGTTTAGTTTGATCACAAGATCTGAGCAGGGCTGTTAACAATAGGACTCATTCAGAGTTACTTAATTCACAAGACTGCTGTTAAGTCAGAAGCAACTTGATGGTGCGCCACACACATAGATACACCCCCTCACCCATACACACAATTCAACGTCACCTACAGTGGAAACAAAGGACCTAAAGGAAATTGAATTCTTGTGAATCTGGAAAAACATCTGAGTTCAGCTTTGCTTCCAATCCTCCCAGATATCAGATGATGTAAATAATGTTGCTGTGATTGGGTTCGTTGAAGAGCTGGAGCAGTTCCTCTCTTTTGGCGGGTAATGACAACTGAGTCTCTTCTTGAACACTTAACTTTTTATTTATTTCAACATTAGCAGAATCAATAACAACCTCTATAGGCTCAAACAAATCACCATCTGGCAACTGTCCATAGCTTGGAAATAACAACTCTTGGTTAGAACTAATATGATTTACTGTGGGGCTGGCCCAAAGCATTCCTGGTCTGTGGGTTTCCTCAAAGGATCATTCCGGTCCGTGCAAATTGTCCCACAGCAGGGACGTCATGCCCAATCTCTCTCCAGGAATGGACTGTTGAGGGTGGGTCCCGGACGGATCACTTTCTTCAAGGGACCTTGCCCCCGCAGGAAAACCATGACCACCCATTCCAGTAGATCCAACATCGCGCTGCTCCCCTTAGGTCTCCGTGGATCCAGTAGCAGTCCTTCCACTTTCAAATTAGGGAAATCTTCTAGCATCCCATGCGTTCTATCATAGTCCACATCTTTCCCTTTCCCCCCTTCAGCATCTTTACCCAATTCTAATCCCGTTGGAACTCTGAACACCTCTTTCCCTCCACACTCTTCTCCTTCTTCCTCCCAAACTGGTAAAACCAACTCCTCCCCCTTCTCTGCCTCTCTCTCTTCCACTAGACAAATCTCCACATCTCCTTTCTCCCCCTTGATTCCCCTCTTTTCCTCTTTCCATATTTAACTCTTCACTTTCTCTCATCTCGGCTGACTCTATCTCCCGCTTTGTCTCGGTCGTCCTGAGTTGAGGGGATGGCTCACTCTGTTCTCTCCTCTCTTCTTCTACAACTCATGTAGAATAGTTCTACAACTGTGAAAACAGTTGCATGTTGCACAGTAGAATCAAAACAAAGAGGATGTGAAACCAGGAGGATAGAACACAAAACCACGAAAGATGGCAGAACAGATCAGACAAGTAGGTGCGGATGTCAAAAGGGATTTTGAAACCAGGAAGTACAGTTCTCAACAACAGCCTGTAACAGGCAAAAAAAAACCCGAACCAAAAGCAAAACAAAACAAAAAAAACATACTGAGAGATTTACTCTAGCAGCAGTATTCTCAGAGGTGCTGAACAGCCTGAACTTTTTGGAGTAAATTGCTGAAGAACTTCCATCTTGGTATAGCTACACTAGCTACCAATATGAAGCAACCAACATGAATTTGACCCAACTCCGGGAGGCAGTGGAAGACAGGAGGGCCTGGCGTGCTCTGGTCCATGGGGTCACGAAGAGTCGGACACGACTTAACAACTAAACAACAACAACAAACACTAGGAAACAATCTAATGCTCCGAGTGAGGCCAACTGAAGATGTTCTTGACTTCCCTTTCCACCTGAAAGAGAGGGAAACATAAGGAGGGAGGGAGCATTCTCAACTAGAGAGTGGTAGAAGTGTCTACTCCCTTGGCCAAATTTCCACTGGCTGTGTTTTAAACAGGACACTTGAGGGAGAACAGTCTTGGGGCAAATGAGGATCTACAGGAGGCAGGCCTTCTCTTTCCTCTGCCACCCCTTTCAAAGAGAAACCACACCAGCCCAAGAGCTGATGTAGTAAATTCTTTCCTGTACTGGTACAGCAGGTGACTCCATCCTTCAATGTCCTCTTGGTCCCAGGGACCGCAAGTGCCATGGTCTGCTTTAGTTACTACTCTAGACTTCCCAACATCATATTATTGCAGGTCAGCAACAGTGAGGCAGAAGGATGCACGGAGTGGACTTTTCCAAGGGAACAGAACTGTTCCTATTGCACACTCGCATGCAAGACGTAAGTGTGTCTTCAGTTATAATTCAGGGGTTTTTAAGAAAACACACACTCGCATACTTCAGCTATTAAAGATTTGAGAGGCACTAGCCTAGACTCATAGATGAATGCTACTGTAAATTCAAAGAGTTACATTAAAAAAAAAAACATCGCATTGCAATCTACACATGTTTATTAATTAATTTCATGCGTCTTGAATTCCAGGCAAGGGGGAAAAGGTTATGGTGTCTAAAAGTGTCAAAAACAGCATTTTCTGCCCCCAGAAAAGAAACCAGAGGCTGGCGATCTTTCAATATTAGAATAACTGCAAGATTCAGTTAGGGGGCCAAGTGAGGTGCTCTGTACCAAAGTTCCGAAACACATTTCAGAGTTTCCAAACGTGTATAAAGCACTGCAGTAGTACTGCAGATGGTTTCGTTAGCTGCTTTAAAAGGGCTTGATTAAATTACAGACATTTAGCAGGAGTGAATCAGAATTTCTCTCTTGGTAACCCTAGACTCTAGGGTCCAGAGCAAAAGCTAGAAAATATAAAAAACTGCTGAGGGCACACAGAGAGATTAAGAATAATGGAGGCAAGCAATTGGATTAAAATGGGACACTGTGTAATATCATCACTCATAAGGGAAGGGAAAACTACATAACGAGCCATGAAAAACTGTTGCTAATTAATGAGTCCCTAGGACTCCTGGTCATACACCAAGCCACACAACTGGTGTTTAAGGAGAATACCAGCAGGGAGTTGTTAATTACTGCACTGGGAATTTTTCAGAGAAAGTTACACCATTTCCCTCCCGCTGGCATAAGTGCACAGCAGGATTCTGGCCTGTCAAGATTTGGATTTTTTAATATGTAGAGTGTTAAAATAATTAAGGGGATATGGAAAAAGCAGCCCTGAAAATATAGTCTATGTTTTGTGATATCTAGATGAATTTACTGTACATGATTAGAAATGGTTGTCTGATTTCATTTTGGAATTGACCCTAAACAGGATAAATGCTAGCTGTGATGAACCCAGCCTTCTATTTTTTTCCCCCTACAGGTCTATTATAGGGCTCTTATGGGCATCAAATCCTCTGGCCATCAAATCCTCTGACATGACAGGCCAGTGTTATCAAACCAGCCGCCAATGACTGCCCTAATCACAGGCAAAAACCTGTGGCAAAAACATTAAGATTTTTTTAAATCACATGTTTAAATTTAAATTGGACTTCACAAAATCTGTATTGTGAAATACTTTTTTCTTTTGGGGAAAACATTCCCTGTGTGGTGACAATTTTAATTTAAAATTGTTATAGCTGAAAGTCTTCATTATGGAATAGGGATTGTAAATTCTAATTCTATATTGCAAGAAATTTTACTGTATATCAATTTTAAAAAAGTTTTGTAAACAGCATCCAACAGTTCTTTGATGAGGGCATCCATTTTATGGGTTACACAGACTTCTATATAAATTATTTAGATTAATTTCCATTGCTTCCCTAGTAGTCAGTCCAATACACCCTAGGAAAACCTGCAGCTGTCAAACTGGGTGTGTCTACACAAATGCATGTATTTCAACAGCAGTATCTGGAAATGCAAAATAAAAGATCAGACCAACTCAAATTTTCTCAGGTAATTCCTAGATTTCTCTCTCTCTCTCTCTCTTACTCAACATGATATAATGTTGGGAATTTTTGAGAGCACTATTAAAATCTCCAGGATCAGTGGTACTGATTCCCTCAGAGTGGCAATTTTTTGCAGGCAAAGTCCTTGCTTCCCTTCCTCCCTCCAAGTGCTCGCTTTGGCAGAGAATAGAGCTGATCTGGATTTAATCGTGCAATTCTCCCCCTAAAACTGCACCTCCACTTGCTGTGTTCTTTTTATATATATATTTATTTAGTTTTATTTAATAAAATTACAACATAAATAACACATATATTCTCCACAACACATTTGTGCTATATTACCCTCCACCCTCAGGATTATATAACAATACATTTACTATATGTACCTACAATTGTTTTCAGATTTTTGTTTCTTGTTTTAACTTGTGCATCCCGTCTCCTTCCAAAACTGTACTGATTCTTCTGGTGGCGTATATCCTTTATGTTTCAAAAAAATACATTTTTAATAAATTTGTTCCAAATTTGGCTAAAAGCAACTTTACATATTGCCTTTCATTGATGTAAATCGCCTTGGCTCCTTTTCAAGGAGAAAGGCATAGTAAAAATATTTTAAATAAAACAAACAAACAAACAAACAAAAGCCCCGTATTTGGGGGAAGAAAAAAATATTTCTTTTCACATTGTTGTATGTTGCAAAATTTGTCAGAAAGATGTAGCAATGGGTTGAGGAAAGTCAATGTACTGTATAAAGAAAAGGATTAGCTGGTAACAGTCAGCTCAAACACCATACTGTATCTGACATACACTGATCTCAGTCAAAAATCTACAAAGCTGGGAGGACGGGGCAGACTATGACTTCGCAGATGCCTGCGGCTGATGGAAGTTCCAAACCAAACACATTGGAACAGCCATAGCTGTTTACCTCTCCTGCAAAGCATCTACAAGAAACTTCCACCTAATCCCAACATACTGTTGGGCAACTCCCATCTTCGCCAACCACTGGCTATACTGACTGAGGTTGATGGAAATTATAATCCAACAACACGTGGAGGGCGACATATTCCACATCCCTGCCATACAGATACAATAAATGGAAAATCACCCTCACTCTCCAAGTAGGCCCCTTAAGGAAACTGTTGGATTTACAGGCATACCTTGGTTTACGAATGCCTCAGTTAACGTAATTTTTGGTTTACGAAGGCAAATCCATTGAAAACAACGCCTCGGTTTATGGGGTTTTTTTTTAGTACAAAGCATGTTTCCCCAGGATGCATTGTGCCTGGAGGTTTCTAGCTCCATCCCCATTCCTATGGCAATCCACGTTTCAGTTTACAAATTTTTCGCATTACGTAACATCCCGGATAACTCATTAAATTTGTAAACTGAGGTACACCTGTACTGGAATCATAAAGTTAAAAAAGAGATGCCACCATTCACACATAACTTGATCCACAACCACCATCCTCATAACTCCAACATTAACCATTATCAGTATTAATCAATTTGCTAATTAAACATACACATTCTGAACTCTAAGTCCTATGTGCCAGAAAAAAATTGGTAAGAAGACCCTGTAGTCCAAATAGAAAATCTGAAGATAGAATTTTTTTGATTAAAACATATTAATCATTGTATTTCAAAACAGTCCAGTCTTAAAAACATTTGTATACCTGTATAACTCTGAATTACACATTTGCAAAGAAGCTCACATGGTTTTAAACAAACCAGCCAAAGGGGACATATCTGATATATGAATAAGAAGTGCAGAATTGAGAGTTGTAATTCAAAATTCTTGGTAAAAATAAAGAAATGCAAATTAAAAAGCAAAAAGGAAATAAAAATATTAAATCCAGCACTCATTTGAATAAGAGCTTGGAAGGGTCCTGGACAGGGCCTTTTAGTTTTGGGGTGGTAACACCAAGACTGCCCAATTTTTGGTTGCCACCAAGATGCCTAAGTGCCTCTAAGTTAGTACATTTGTAGAAAGCTCTCTAGAGGTTATCCCAGCTAACTAGCAGGTTCCTCAAGAGAGGCTAGCCGTGACCATCTAGGCCAGCACTAAATGCAGAAGAAACCAATGATGAGTTTCTAAACTGGCATGCCACAGACCAATCAATCTGTTCCTCTCTGCAATCCTGCCAATGTACTGTATTGTTAACCCATCGAAATTCAGAAGTAAGCCTCAAAAACTGAGCAAGATAGTAGTATAATTGGGGTGTTAACATGGCATGGACAGAAGTCAGACTCTCTTTAGAAGGCAGGAATGACTTTCAAATTGTCCCTACCCAAGATAGTTCTCATATGAACTGTATAAACAAGTCAGGGCATGCTGGCCTGGCATACAAAGCAGTGACTGAGATATTTCTTATGGACTAGCCCTCACTAAGCCTGGAGAATTAATGTAATCTTCCACCTCAGTTTTACCATACATGTGTGTAGTTGTCTCTTCATATATTTCCTGCCTGGCTGGCATCAAATTTTCCCTCATGGGGCCAACTCAGGAACAAATAACTCCTCCACCACTTGACTAAGGAAGCCATCGGGATGATGGCCAGACAGACCAGAAGCTGCTTCCCTCTAATCAGATATTTTCTATACCTGCAGGACTGCAATACCTGTGAAGCCTCCAGTCAAGACATTCCTGGCAATGCTAAGTGAGGATGATGGGAGTGGTCACACAGCATGTCTAGAAGGAGTAGGGAGCCCTGAAAGCATACCGTTTACGGAACAAAAAAGCTGTTAATGTTGATGCTCAGACCAGAAGGTGAAGAGAGAGCGCCCCCCCCCAAGGGTGTTACAGACTTGAGAGGAGGAGGGGCCGCTGACAAGAGGACTGGGAACTTGGAAGTCAGCTGATGCCAAATAAGTGGGGCTCACACCAAGCAAAGGTTTTAAGGTGCCACAACACTCTTCGTTGATTTTCCTTTCCTCACCCCCCCCCGCACACCGTTAAGGTTAGGTATGCTTAGGATCCCATCTCTTTTTGTTTACATCATTTGTCAGGCGAAGGTAAAGGAAGTCCTGCTGCCTTCCCCCGCAACTGACCGACCAGCCCCCTTCTTCGTCGCGGGTTTCCCACCCTTGCTCCCCGCCATCTCCGATTCCTTCTGCCACCCTCTGGGACCGATGCTCCCCCCCACCAGAACCGGAACCAGGCACAGGCACCGCCATCATCGCCCTTCTCCCCCACTTTGCCCTGCTACGCCTACGCGATCCTCCCCCCCTCCTTTCGCTCCTGAGCCACCGCCCCCTCCCCTCGCGGCATCCTCCGGCCGCCTCCCCTCAGGACACCCCGCATTCCGCGCGCGCACCCGCTACTACCTGCCAGCCCCCGGCGCGCGATTCCTCTTTCTCTTTGCCGGTCCGAGCAGCCTCGCAGGGCAAAGGGATTCCCACCCACCTTTCGCCTGATTGGACGAAGAGCCCAAGCCACGTCCCAACGCGGAGGGAGGATAGGCCATGAGAAAGAAGAGCCGGTCCAGGCTGCCGAAGATTTCGATTTCCCAGGTATGATGTCACTCGAGGGGGCGGGGCGGAGTTTAAGATGGTTTGTTTACAGCAGGTCGTGTTCCTGAAAGAACATCGTGGATTGTTTGACAGCTCTTGGAAGCTTTCAAAGAAGATGCGTTATAGCGGGTTGTTTTTTTAAAAAAATACCGTACGTCTGAAGAAGTGGACTTGATTCTCGAAAACTCACATTAAAATATACGCGATAGCCTTAAAGATGGCACAAGTTTGTTGTCCTTTTTAAAATTTTAATTCTTTCTTCTTTTTTTGGATTTTGCCTGATATGTTTTCAAAGCGTGTATAAGAAAAACAATTAGGACACAAATGCAAGACCAGGCGATGCCTTTATTATATCACTAAAATAAATAAATAAATCAAGGGGTCTAATGAAGGTATTGCCTGCTCTTTTGCAACTGTATTGTTTTGGAGACCACACGGCCCTTTTCTGGTTGTTCCAGAACAAAACGAATAGCTTCAAGAGAGTGTCTGAGGGAGCTCTGGTTGTTCCAGAACAAAACGAATAGCTTCGAGAGAGTGTCTGAGGGAGCTCTTGTAATCGGGGAAACTCCAGAGTGAAATAAAGCTATTAGCTTTAAACGGGCCAGGATACTTTTTTTAGTTATATTTCTGATGCAAGCCTTTCATAGAATTTCAGGGGCCTCTGTCAGGTTTTTTGTCTGCATGGAGGAGAGAATTGGCAAACAGATAGGCTGATGTCAAGGCAGCAATGTGCTGTCACAGACAATGGACATCTTCTCTGGACCAAGTTTTGTCTGGTTATTCCCCCATCTCCAAATTTTATACCATTTTTGCCCCATTAAGGTTTCTGGAGAACCCAAAGCATGCTTTGTTGGTCACTTTTTAATTATCCAATAAAGGTTTTACTCAGTCTGGGACTGTATGGATCCTGATTTCTCATTAGATAGAATTGATTCCATCGTTGGAATCTGTTTCTCTACAATTATGGACTGGCCTCTTGAGTGCATATTAGAATGGAAAATTCTGCTTCAGAAAATGTGCAATTTCTGACTGACATTTCTATATCTGCAATAGACCTTTTCTCTAATGCAGGTCAACAAACTAGGATTTGTTAGGCATGTTGCTTGCCATTCTCTTGACAAATCAGGGCTTGTTCTTGGCTTACAGTTCCTAGCTTGAGTGACCTCTCTTCCCCACCTCAAAAATAATTTAAGAGTGCTTACAATTACAGTAAGGTTACTCTAGTGAACCCCTATTAACTATTTTCCCCACCTTTTTAAAGGTGAGAGACCTCTAACAAAATGTTGCAATGAAGTGTGCTGGTGTTCAGGTTTCCAGTCTCTCTCTTCTTTTCTGTCTCCACCTCCCACAGTTACCAACTGTGTACAGTAAATTTTTACTAGACTCCTTCTGTGAAGCCCCCCAACCAGAGTTCAGTGTTGTTCTTTTTTAACAGCTGTTCTGCAAAACTGGAGTTCCTTTCTGTAGATTTTGAATTCCCTTCAACCTGCTGCTAACTCCCTGTGTTGCTTGTGGGTCCAGCCAATTTCTATAAATAACAGCCCTCACAGTCTGATGTTGGAAAGGTAAGGAATGCATCAGGGGAAAAATTAATCATTTTGTTCAAAGGGCAGTTGACCTCTTAGGCTTCTGAACCATTTCCATAATTACACATAAACATTCCCATTGTAGCAAGCTCCTTCTACACTGTGTTTGAGAAAGAAAAGCAATGATACCGTTCCTCTTCAACCATAGTCAAAATCAACACAACGCTCTGTGCTTTTCGAGAGTGACCTCCATGTGTTGATGAAGAGTGGATATGTGAGCAGGTGTCATGTTTGCAGATTGTAAATATTGTAATATGAGTTCTAATTCAGGTAGGATAAATGCAAATAAGCCTTGAAACAATTAACTTTTGGAATGACAGAGGCAAACAAGCTAGCAAAAGAGACAAAAGCAGTGTGCAAGAAGATATTTAATGGATTACGAGTAAGCAGGAATAAAATAAGTGGTACCAGTGTCTGGTGCTTCAGAAATCTATTTGGGCATTAGCCTAATCTCTGTTCGGACTCCCTGCAAAACTGCATCCTTTGGTGTCTAAACAACTTTAGACACCATTTTAAAAACCAATAACTATATATGTAGGTGCCCAAATGACAATTTAGAATAATAGTATCCCCTATCTTTTCTTCTCCTCTGTTACCTGTATTCTTGAAGGACAAGCTGTGGATATTGTTTGCAAACATCAAACAATATTAGAACTGCTGGATAGCTCATTGGATTAGGCATTGGCTGCAGAGCCAGAAGTTGGGAGTTTGATTCCCCCACTGTGTGCCACCTTGACACAAGCTGGACTTGATGATCTATAGGGTCCCTTCCAGCTCTGCAGTTCTTAGGTGGTGGCTGTTGTATTGCAAGGGACTTTTAACCTGGGATGATCAGAGTTGAGGCACATCTAGATGATGGTGGCTGGTAGTAGGAGGGGGTGAAGGCTCTTCTTTCTCTTGATTGAAGTAGTCGATCAATCTATATATACCCACTTTGTACCCTGGCTTTAGCATTGCAGAAATTCCCAACGCAGCACCACCACCTACCCCACCAGTCATACCCATCAGTGCATCATAGCTCAGATCTATGGCACCCTCCAAAACACGTTCTTTTGCCAGGTCTGTGCAGCCTTGGGTGGCATAATAGACGCTGGTTCCAAGGTTATAGTAGGTACTGACTACAGGCACCCAACTTAAAACTTCATAGACTTGTTGCTCTTTCTCACTAAGACAATCTTCTGGGCTGGAGCGCTGGACTCTTGCAAGACCATGGCATTGATGTAGCCAAGAATGGGCACCATGGTGTGGTAGGAAGAAGCTGCCATCACGAGCCACCACTTGGAAGGAACTGGTACCATTGGAGGCTACTCCAGCACAAAGATCTCCCAGATGGCGACAAGCTAGAGCAGCTGATAAAAAATCCTTGTAGACTCTGTATGCCCGGCCGTGCAGGAGTGTTCCATTCACCTGCCTGAGGCCTCTGCAGTGCCAAGCTTGGGTGGGCGCTAACTGGTCCAAGTTGAATTGCAAAGCAACGCTGCTTTTGTTTTCATGGGAGGGACTCGGTGTGCCCAGGGCCCCTGCCATTGTGACCAGGAGGTGCTCCGTATCTACCTCTCCCAACTCTTTGGAGAGTTGCAGGATCAGGGTTTCGGCATGTGAGGGACAGCCTGCACTTTGCAAAGCAAGTGAGAAGGCAGCTCGAATGAAGTTCTGGGCAATTGGGGGCACCTTGGCAAAACCTCCTAAGGCCTCAGGCATCAAGTCTCGGCAGGAAACACCTTTTTGCGGCAACTGGAGCTGGGGAGATTTGGGGTTGAAAGAACGGAAGAGGCTGTGGAGAGCTCCAGGTCGGTATTCAGAAGTAGACTGGTGGGCTCTAAGTTCCGTTTCTTTGGGGTTAGCCATGGACAGGAGGTGTCCATCCAACCCCTGAAACATCAGAAGGCCAAAGAAAGCAAAGACAGCCATAGGTGACGGCAAGTACATGTTGGACTGATACTTTGCACCCTGCTGAAATGAGAAGAGACAATTAGCCAAGGCACCTCCAGTTCAGAACCTCTTCCAGGGGAGACATAGAGGGGTAAAGCAGAGAAGGACATCTTTGCCTAATGGGGCTTCACGGATGAAACAGGTCCAAGGTTGCCTCACTGCCTAGGGAGATTACAATAGTTTCAGCACTTTTTTGTGAAAAAATAGTGGGTTGCTTTTCCCCAGAAAAAATGTTGTTTACATTAATTAAAAGCTTTGTATTTTACACAAAATGGAAGTTTTTAAAGTGCCCAATACATTCACCCAAACATGCCCCCAGATGCAAAAACAAGAGGGCTTTTTAAGCTGATGTGGCTGATGGCCAGAGTGTGCTGGTCTTTTCACGCTTGTGAAGACGTGAAGAAAAAAAATTGAGCATTCTATCATTTTTTTTCAATTGAATGTCTTAATGTACGAGAACATGTTTAATTTTTGTCAAGGATGGTGTGTTCATTACATTCTAAAGTCCCAGGCCTACTGAGTTGGGCACTCTCCTTTAGGAATGGAGGAGAATGGCATTAAGCAGACTCCAGCAAAATCATACCAGTCGTCAGACAAGCTGCTACAGTTCTCTTCACATCCCAAGTCAGTCAGTCAGAGCTTCATTTACTTAACCGACTGAAGGAAATATGGGACACTTCTTGTCTTAAGGAAGAATTTAGTTCCGCTGCCACAAGGGGAGGGAAGCATATTCCTGGATCAGCAATAATGAGCCATACTGGCTCCCTTGGAAGCCCACAGGATTCCTTTCGAAGTGCAAATCTCAGTGGCACAAAGTTACGAGGAGGAAATCTTTGGACAGGAATAAGGCTGCTTCAGACAACAGGAGAGATCTGCCAGGAGGGCTCCAGCCTGACCCTTCTCCCACATCCTTGCACAAATTATACTGTCTTTTTGCACTGGAGAACGTGGCCCTTAAAGAAAAGCAGCAGCATCATGTTTCAAGGAGGAAATAGGAAAGGAGGCGGAATTGCTTGCCCCTTCTGTCTCCTGGGAAACTAAGAGGTGGCATACTTTTGCCTCCTTCCAGGATCAAAAGCAGGGATGCAGGCAGCGGGGGGGGGGGACGGGGACCAAGTGAGGGCACACATTAAGGGATCAATAGTGGCGGGCCAAAGGGTGAATGTACTAGAAATGAAGGCGATCCCTGACCATGTACAACAAGTTATTTGCAAACAAATCAGCAAAAAAACACAACTTTTATAAAAATAGAATTTTTTCAGCTGTGGGAGCCTTTCCTTTGTCATCAGTGCTTACAAAACAATGCAGACACAAGAAGTTTTTTTAAAGCACTGTCTTAAGCACTGGTCAGGTATGATCTCTCTTTCTCTGTGTGCTTTGCAACTCTTTAGTCTGACAATGGGATGAAGCCCATCTTGCCCATTTAATGCTCACAATGTTATTTCCATGAAGGAAAAATAGGGACATATCCACACATCTCTCTGAAATGTGTGTGTGACTAAAACATGGACAAATGTACACACACACATGCTTTAGGTAAACGGGAAAGTGCATGCACAAATGGACAAAAAATTTCCACTCAGTAAGGCAGAGAAAATCTCACATCCGTTGAGGAACAAGGGCAAAATAAGCATGCTGTGGCAGAGGCTAGTGTTTCTTCCTCATGCCACTCTCCCATTTTAGAAAGTACAGGGGACTTTCCCATCTCTTTGGCAGGCTGCCTTGCCTTCAGAATGAAGTCCTGAAAATTAGTCCTTTACACACGATCTCCTTCCATCCCAAACTATTTACCGCATGCCTTGAAACACTAGCATGCCCATGTCTTCTGCCACCCCTTCCCTGGCCACCCAGAGGGAACTGCTTACCTCTGTGGAGCAAAGATGTGTGTACAACACCTCAGGATGAGAATGAAGAGCTGTTGCAATTTCATGCCGATATATACAGCCAGTCTTATCAGCAGAACCAATTGCAACATGCCTCTTCACGGGTAAATGCTGGCACATTTTCTCTCCCTTTGCAAGGGCCCTAAATATTTTCTCTTCTCCTTAATTCTTATGCCTGTTTGATTTGGCAGTTATTTTGAGATGGGAGAGAAAAGAAGGATCATTAGGGATGGGACTTTCATATTTAATGGAGGTTCATTGTGGGAGTGAAACTCCATAGCAGAATGAGGTAGAACGGCTGCTCCATCTGCATTTGGTGGTCTTACTGTTCCTCTCCTCAGTGGGGAGAAAAGATCCTGGCTGTTGAATGGACATCATGAGCTCTCTTGAGATTTGCAAGACCCCAGGGTTTCCCACGGAGCCAGTCTCTGTCAGAATCCGTCCTCACATGGGGCTTTAGCAAGTGTCAGGGAATTTCATGATTGCAGGTTAGAGGGGCTGCTCTCCCTCATGCTTCTAGGGAGCTTTCACTCCCATATTCCAGTCTGGGGAAATTCTTGCCAAATTATCGGTGTGGAAATCAATTAAATAAAAAAGTCCTGTCTCTAGCGATCAAGAGAAGCAAAGCAATTTGGAAGGGAGAGGAGAGGAGAGAGAAGCTGCTGCATGTTGGCTGCTCTTGTTTGCACAACCGAGATCAATACCCCTGTCTACAGCATATAAAGTTCAAAGCTTCTGGACGACCCAGGTTTCCTCACCACTCAGCCAAAATCCAGTCAGATTACTTGGGTCAAATATTTGGAAGACCTGAAAATATTAAACCTTGCTAAAACCACCCTGTTTGTATTGAAAAAAACAAAAACCAAAAAGGAAGGTCTACATCTACACAGTCACGCAACACAGGACCATGTTCTCATAGCCTTTCCAACCGGAGTCCCTTTGCTGCTTTGTGGAACCCCAGGGGAGATGGCAAAGAAACGTTTGAGGCATTTTATTTCTTATTATTTTTTTCTTAATATCAAAAGTACATCACACATGCAAATTACGAAGAAACATTTCTTTCCTAACATGGAGGACAGAACCGAAGTAAGAACGTCAAGTAAAAGGCATCCTGTCTGAAGCTCTCTGACATGGCCTCCCTTTGAAATGGGCCCAATGAAGTCAATAACTGATAAAGCCATGGGGGGGGAGAGGGAGAGGGGGAGGAAGCAGCTCAAAGCAAACAACAGGGGAGGCAGGCATCTCTATTTGCGCAGAGGGAGGGAGGGAGATGCTTCCTGTGTGTAGAAAAGAAGGCAGCTTCTGAATCCACCCCATCCCCTGCAAGTCACTATTCCGTTCCTAATAGATGACATTAAATGGGCTCCGTTTCCAGTTCCAGCACCCGCTGTTGAAGAAGGAATGTCTGAGGTAAAACAGTGCGCAATGGAAGCAGCAGAGAGAGAGATGGAGATGAGGGTGGGGTGGGGGTGTCCATAAGGCAGTGTGTGAATAAAAGCAAGAGGGCCCCAGTCTGGGGTAGACATGGATATGAGGCAGACCCACAAGTCAGGCCCAAGGATACCATTCGAGAGGTGGGTGTCACAGGGTATAAACAGTTGGCTATAAACATGGAACAGTTTAAAGGAACTTTCTCACACCAAGTTGACCACTTTGCAAGGTGGGGGAACAGCATGGGAAGAAGCATGCTGGCTCATCATAAAAGAAGGCTTATTTCCCACGTCAAGTTTAACACTCATCATATCTCTGCCACAGAGCTGAGAGCAGCATGGGAATCAGCACCACTGCCACTTCTGCACTCTCCTCCCCTACCCTCAGTTGACGGCACATTATTTTTCCCCCCTCATATCCATGAGTCTGGTCTCTGTGCCCCTTTCCCTGAAACTAAAGTATTGTGCATGGAGAATGCAGGGATTCTGGCAGTTTTCCACTCTGGTCCATCCAACTCCTCATGGTCTGAAGGGAGTGGCTGCAGGTCCTTGGCTTAGACATCTGCGCAAACCGGCCTTGCTGGGCCCAGTCCCAGTGCGCAGCCCCAGGCCATCAATCCTCCTCCTCTTCTTCCTCAACTCGGAGGCGCTTCCTTTTGCCAGAGGGACGTGGCTCATCCTCATCACTGGAGCCTGTAGGGGCCAAAAGCCAAACACGGTGTCTTAAAGAGTTATAGCCCTAACTTTAAGCACGAAAAGAGAAAATGGACCCTTAAAGGTTCTGAGGGTGGAGAGAATGGCAGGGAGAAGTCATAGGGGCAGTAATTAATATGTTACAAAAGGTACCTCAGAAACAACACAATATTCAGGATACTAGAAAATCAAGATGAGGAAAGACAGGAATCACACTTCACTTTGATACTTAAAAAATAGATAGATAGATTTACATGCCCTCAGAGAGTTTGTGCCTCTAGGTTTATGTGCAAATCTTGACATCCTTTCTGACTTTAGAGGGCTCAGAGCAGCAACTCATGGAGATAGGCAACAGGCAGCCTCCTTGGGAGGAGGCAGTTCTACTGCATTCTCTATAGCACGAATGAGTGACTGACCGAATGAATCAATCACAACTTTACAACTTCCTTTGGGGCCCCACCTTTTCTCTATCTCGTCCATTTTACTCACCAGTATCCTATTATCCAAATGCAGAGCAGAAAGGCAATCACGTACGCCTCTGGCAGGCTCTCCACTCTATGCCCATTCTCATGAGACTGGTTGTGCAAGCGGTTATGTGAGAGGAGTCCTGCAGGACTGAGGGCCACTTAGACAATTTAATTTTCACTCCACATTTAGGCAATAAGTTGCTGGCTGCTGGTTCTTGGTGCCTATTTTTATGCTCTGCTCTGTTTTCTTTTAAATTTATTAGCTAGGTAACTTATTGTTCTATTGCTTACTTATAATTAATTAAAATGTGAACAAAGAAAAATTTAATCAGAGAAAAAGTAAATCACATGTGGTGGGGAGACAGGGCAGAACCAGTGATGGATACAACCTGCAGGTTCAGCAGTTTCTGCTGGTTCATTTTTTGGCTGAACAAACGTTTGGCGCTTCTCAGCCCTGCTTCCTTTGGCAGTACCCCACCTTCCCTGCCCCACCTCCTCTGGGCGCTGCCTGAGTGGGAACAGCCGAACACCTGTTCAGCAGAAAAATGAACTGCCGGACCGTCAGATCGTGCCCATCTCTAGGCAGAACTGCCAACTTCCCTTGGCAGAGTCTGAACTGGAAAGAAGCTGCACTAGTCAAGCACAGACAAAGCTGAATGGTTTGGTTCCTCCATTCACAGGTAATCTGGGTTCACAGAGCATTTAAAATACAGTGGTGCCTCGCTTAACGAGCGCACCGTTTAACGATGAATCCGCATAGCGATCTGTTTTTTCAGATCGCTAATGCGATCGCATTGCGATGTTTGAATAGGGCAAACATCGCATTGCGACGATTTTTGCATTGCGGTGTTTTTTTTTAACAGCTGTTCGGCGGTTCCAAAATGGCCGCTGGACACCCAAAATGGCCACACGCGTTTTCGCGCCCTGCCCTCACTTACCGAGGGCGTGAAAATGGCGGCGCTATGGAGAAACTTCGCAGAACGGTGAGTTTAGGAGCCATAGGAACGCATTAAACTAAGTTTAATGCGTTTCTATGGCGTTTTCCGTTCTGTATAGCGATGTTTCCCCATAGCGACGGTTAATCCGGAACGGATTAACCTCGCTATGCGGGGCACCACTGTAATAATGATTGATTTCTGAACTTCACACCATGAATTCTCCTATAGCACCGGTGTGCACTCCGGTTCAGAGATTACCGTCCTGTGTCTGGCACACTGATGAAATTGCAAAGAGGAAAGATCTCACAAGCTAAGGAGGAACAGGCAGAGAGACGTTTCAGGGAAGGGTGGTGGAAGTGGATATGTTATAGGCATGAAATCTACCTTGATGGTGGCTCTCCTCCTCCTCTCCACTGTCACTGATTAAGCGGCTTCGTTTCGGTCCTGGAGGGAGCTGGACAGGTTCCTCCCTGCCAATGAGAATGGCAAAATGAGAACTTTTGAGACGTTTCCACCACCTTTTAGTCAGAAACTTTGGGATTGGGGGAAGAGTGGCAGGCAAGACGTGAGTGCAAGACTGAAATTAAATCTTCCACCACATCACTTTAGATAGGCTTTGGAAAACTGATAACCCCCATTTTCCTTTAATAGAATAATGAAGTTGGAAGGGGCCTATAAGGTAATCGACTCCATTCCTCTGCTCAGTGCAGGAATACAAATCAAAGGAGCAGTGCCATATGCCGTACTGCTCTAATAGTTAGGATGTTTTTCCTGATATTCAGCTGAAATCTGGTTTCCTATAACTTGAGCCCATTGTCATGAGCTCATGGGTGATCAAGAACAGATCGTGCCCCTCCTCTATATTTCAAAAGTGCTATCATATCTCCCCTCAGTCTTCTTTTCCCAAGGCTAAACATGGCCAGTTCTTTCAGTCTTTCCTCACAGGGCTTGGTTTCCAATACTCAAGGTGAGGCCTAACCAGTGCCGAATAGAGGGTAACTCAAGGTGAGGCCTAACCAGTGTCGAATAGAGGGTGGACTAGTACCCCGTGGGATTTAGAAACTATACTTCTGTTAATACAGCCTAAAACAGCATTTGCCTTTTGTTGTAGCCACGCTGTTGGCTCATATTCAGCTTGTGATCTACGAGTGGAAAACCATTCTGACACTACAGTATATGAATTTCTCTCTCAGACTTTCTAAGAAGAGCCATCTCATATTCAGCTTGTGATCTACAACGAGTGGAAAACCATTCTGACACTACGGTATATGAATTTCTCTCTCAGAATTTCTAAGAAGAGCCACAGAAGCTCAAACTGAGCCTCTGTTGATGTAAAGAGATGAAAGAAAAGCTGAAGAAACACATAAATAGGATCCCAGGGCTGCTGGCTGACCACTGATTCTATATAGCCATATATGGGGCAGGTTAATACAATGGAGCAAGGACCATAAAAGAGGGAGGGAGGGAGGGGAGAAAAAAGTGCTCCTTCAGTGGATGTCTTTGCTTCTGTTTGGGCGATGGAACCTGTTTCTAGAAATCAGATACATAATCCTGAGTTTGAAGGGCAGTCCTAACGAACTCCAAGATCTTCTGGAAAGGAATCTGTCACTCTCATTCCCTCTAAACAGGAAAGACAAAATGGATCCTAAAAAGATCTGGAGGATACGTATTGCAAAAACGCAAAGGTTCCCAGGCTCATCCTTCCCAACCAGTGAGGGGTTGGTGGGCAAGCCTTCCTCCATTCCTGTATGCATAGGCTCCAGATACAGTCTTGCTTTTCAACAACAGGATTCATTAACAGATGAGGACAGGATATAAGAAGCTCAGGAGTTCTCTCCACTCCTGGGAGACTCCCAGGTGGACAGAGTGAGTGATGCTTGTCCCTGGGAGGAGTCAGTCTTGCCTGGGCCCTGAGTTAACGTCATTTGAGTCTTTGGTTTCTGCCAGGAAGGTTCTCCAAAGAGGGCTAAAGGCAGCCGCTCAGGGAAAAAGGCAGCTTATAAATCCTTGCCTTGGTCCTTCTGGAAGTGGTGACTGCTGTTACTGCTGCTGGAGGTGCCACTGTTGCTCCTTTTGCCTTTTCCACCTCCAGCATCACCTCCAGGTGGGCATTGGCCCTCTAGCCCTCCATGGGTGGCTGTCAGTGGCAGAAGGGGTCCCAGTGTTGGGACTCGGGCATAGGAGAGGGCTGGGGGCACCCCTTACCTGTCGCCTTGTCCATGAGGCAGCCAGAGATGGACAAGAACCCCTGCCCAGGAATCCTCCTGGCATGTGTAGTCCTGGGCTGCCTTCGTGCTCGGTGCCTCCCCCTCCTCCATCCCCGAGGTGTCCACAGCCTCCTTCAATGGGGCCAGCTATTCCTCATCTTCCCCAAGCCTCCTCCCAGTCTCCCCCAGCACCTCCTTTATGGTTGACGACTGATAGACAGCCCCCGTCCTTTCCTCCTTCCAAGTGCTGTGGCCTCCTTCCCCTCTTGGGATGATTGACCCTGTTCCGCACCAGGCTTAGACCCAGCAGTAGCTTGGTCCAAGGGCCCTAACTTGGGGGCTTAGGGCGGGGGCTGTTGGCCCATCCGGGGCACCAGCAGCAATGGTTTTGCATTAAATCGCACCCAAGTTTGGTCTGACCATTATGGTCTTCTCCACCTCCGATACCTCATTAATCCCTGCCCTCATGCACGTTGGCTCCTGTCCGCTTCCACCTTACATTCTCATGGACTATCCCAGTTCTTCTCACCTTTCTGCTGTCAGGCTCCCAGGCTCCTCTAGACTGAGATGGTCTTCCTCTGAAACTAAGGTGGGAGAGGGGAAACAACATGAGAAAACCCAGGTCACCTCTACCTAGTGATATGATATTCTGATGATGAGGCAAGTTAGTTCCTTGAAGCAACCATTTACCTCAGAGATATTCAGCTCTTCAGAGCTGGTTAGGTACCCAAGCAAGGGACTGGAAAAATTCCAGAGCTAGAGGGCTCCCCAACATCCCACCTGTAGCACAAGTCCTTTTCTTAGGGTTGCAGATAACATCTTAGAAACTCCCAAAGCAAGGGACTGGAAAAATTCCAGAGCTAGAGGGCTCCCCAACCTCCCACCTGTAGCACAAGTCCTTAGGGTTGCAGATAACATCTTAGAAAGAGATTGAAGTGGATCCCAACCTTGGATAACCCAGGAGTTCTTGGACTGCAGCTCCCAGAAACCCTGGCCAGCACAGTTCATGAGGAAGGCTTCTGGGAATTTCCCCCTGGGAGTGGTGGGGGGAATGAAGCTTCCAAGTTCTGGTCAAGTCTCAGCCCAAGCCTCAATGGGGTCCAAACACAGAGATGGTGGATTATGTCTCTGTGTCTGTAACTCTTCCACAGGCTGAAAGGAAGGCTGGGCCTAGCAGATTCTTCCCCTTTCTGGATGAAACCCATCCTTCCCAGCTGGCAGTGCCACAGACAGGGTGCTGGGTCTGACACAGTGAAGGGAAAAAATGGGAAAGGATAATGCCATTTAGGATTAGAAATCAGTAACTGATTCCTCACATTCACGTGTGATTTGAGAAACGAAACTAAGCAAAACTAAATTTAAAAAAAAAAAAGCCCAGGAGGGAGTGCCTTAATTTCATTAGGAAGCAGAATAAGAGGCTGGGTGACTGATTAACCAAGAGTCAGAGGAAGTTATTTTGGGCTTGGTTTTGCAATAAGTGGGAGCTGCCCTTGGGCATTAATATTCTTTCTTCGGTGTCTCTTAGTGCATTCAGACCTTGCAATGCAAATCTGTGTTCTGTTATCACACCTTGTCCATGCTGGCTGTACAAGTACAAAGGGGGAAGGGGAGAAAAGTGTGTGCAGACTTGCACCAGAGCCCACCAACACAAGTGCAAGTGAAGCCACTGTTAGGGAACATAAAAGCGTGTCTTTTGGGATAACGCTTATCTTTGAGATCAGAAGCCACATGCTTTTGCTGCTTCAGATTTTACCCAGTGAGTGCATTTTAACTTTTGGGCTTCCAGATGTTGTTTGCAGTTCACATAACTCATCATTGGCTTTGCTGATTAGAACAAATGAGAGGTACAGCCCCACAACAAACAGAACAGTGTCAGATTTTACCCAGTGAGTGCATTTTAACCTTTGGGCTTCCAGATGTTGTTCAACTGCAGCTCACATAACTCATCACTGGCTTTGCTGATTAGAACAAATGAGAGGTACAGCCCCACAACAAACAGAACAGTGGCTTTTGCTGATTAGAACAAATGAGAGGTACAGCCCCACAACATACGGAAGGTCACAACATCAAGCTCCATTCCCCACCCCTACTGTTGCTTTCTGCATAAGAAAGTGACAGCCTGAAGGAGTGACTATTCTGCCTATGTAGCCTCTCTATGTAAGCCAGATGTTGGGTCGGTGGGTGGGAAACAGAAAGAAAGTGGCTTGGGCTCCCAGATATGAACAAATGAGAGGTACAGCCCCACAACATACGGAAGGTCACAACATCAAGCTCCATTCCCCACCCCTACTGTTGCTTTCTGCATAAGAAAGTGACAGCCTGAAGGAGTGACTATTCTGCCTATGTAGCCTCTCTATGTAAGCCAGATGTTGGGTCGGTGGGTGGGAAACAGAAAGAAAGTGGCTTGGGCTCCCAGATATTCTTGGGCAACAAAAACCAGAAATCCTGGGCAGCACAGATGGTGGTGAAGGGTTCTGGTAGTTTTAGTCCAAGAACATCTGGGCAACCAAGACTGGGAACCACTGAACAGAACAGCCCCCCTTTCACCTGTTGAAATCTGGGGACCCAAGACTGGGAACCACTGAGACAGAACAGCCCCCTTTCACCTGTTGAGTCTGACAGTGGATATGTAGTGGGGCTACTGCACTTCTCTGCACTCCCCTTAATGTGTGTGGGCTCCAGAGGCTCAGATAATGAGTAAATAGGGCCTTTATCTGTAGGTCTTGGTTAATATACAGTAGTAGCATATGTGCCACTTAATGTAGGAGAAACAGGGTGAATAAAAATCAATGATTTGTTAAAGTCACATGATTTTTTTTTAATTGTTAAAAAAATTCAGGTTGTTGGATTTAAATCAAATGCACCCTGGGGAACAGGGGCTAGTTTCAACAGGCTGGGTTTTTGGTGCCATCAACACTTCTATTTTCCCTATAAATCTGTCTCCCAGCATCCAACTTACTGGCTGGTCGCTCTTCAGTCTCACCCTCCATTTCCTGTGGGGCCATGGAAGCTGCCACTCGTCGTAGTTGCTCTGGGCTCAGTTTAGCTGGGATGCGCCAGAAAGATTCCTGTTGGAAGTTTAAAAAAAGGTTGCTACCTAATGGTCCATAAAACAAAAACATCTGCTTCTATACTTGGTCCCCAATTAAAAGCCCTTAGCTGCAACAGTGCTGATGGGAGAGGTTTGTCCTGAACATCTGTAATCCCAGAGTTCAGGCGTTCTGCACATGTTTGATTTAAAAACAAAAAGCCCAACTATATGTATTGAGAAAAAATAGTATGCCAAACTCAAACAAGAAAAGAGAGCTACAAGAAGAGAAGTTCAAACTCCACTCTTTTAAGGGAAATGCACAGTATAAATAGAAGTAAGTATGGTAAGTAATTAAGTAAGTTACTTACTTACCTTAGGGAACACCAGAAATAACACAACAATTAATGGATATTTTATATGGCTATATAAGATACTAAATTACAAAAGACAGACTGAATGGTTAATGGAAGAATAGGAGTCTCAGATTTCTTCTCCAGAGGAAGACAAACCTCTTCCACCATACCTAGGAATCACACATGTTAGAGTGTTTGTCCAGAATTGGGATGGGGGAGTGTGGGTTGCTGCTCTCTCTTGAATGCATAACACTTAGTTCTACATCGTTATTTCAACCCACTGAGACCACGTCCCTCCCTCCACCTCTCCGAGAACACACCTGGCAGGAGGGAAATCATGAATGATATCCTACACCATGAATCATAGTACGGGGCTGTATTTTTGTTTATTTATTTATTTAAAATATATTCATTCCACCTTCCTCTTCAAAAGAACTCAGAGTGGCTATACATGTCGGGACCTCATCCTTGTGTTTTGTACTGGTGCTGAAATTGTGGATGTGTTTCCCAGAAAGCACTGTAAGTGACTGCAACCTAGAAGCTAAATACAGCAAATCCATTTCCTAAGTAGAAAACAACTAAGTATACATCCCAGACTGAGTGAAAATAAAAGTAGAAGGGAGTGTGGCTGAAAGCTCACCATATTTCCAAATAAGCAATTAAAACCAGAATAAGCCATTTTGACAAGTACAGAGAGCAATTTCGTGATCTAGAACCTTTTTGAGGACCATCTAATCTTGCTGACATGCAGAATTTAGGTGTGGTTTATCCCCACCCCCACATTTCCAATTTAAACAACTTCTAGTAAGCTCCTAAGAGCACCGTTTTCCTTCAAAATAATGGAGAATGTAGTTTTAATTCTAGCAATTATGACTGCAAGAAATGGTGGGTGGGAATAGAATGACATGGGGACATATATAACCTGTGTATAAACCACCGAATGATTAAAACAACAAGAAGAAGAGATTATGATTAGTTGAAATGCTTGACCAGCAATCCCAGGGCAAGAGTGAGTGACACCTTTATTACACCACTAAAATATATATATATTAACGGTCCATAAAGCTAGATTTCTAGGTTGAGCACTGAGGAGTTTTGGGTGTTGCAGAAAAGACAATAAAATAAAATAAAATTTAAAAAAATCATGATTAGACATGCACTCATTTAAAACCAGAAAAGACAATAAAATAAAATAAAATTTCAAAAAATCATGGTTAGACATGCACTCATTTAAAAACAAATCCCAAAATGAGTGCTAGAGACTCAGAGCGGAGATGCTGATTTCAGATTTCACCTCGGGTGGCATGGAGTGGAACATCTCTCTCAATGTTGTTAGATAAAGGCTTGCCCTGAGCTGCAAGTAACATGTATTTTTAAAGTGTCCCCAAAGAAAGAAAAAGGGCAAATAACACCCCAAATTCTCACTGTAAAACTGTTATGTGCATTCTATTCTCGCTTTACCCTCTAGGAAAAAGAATTACCTGTTCATTAGCTGGCGCCCGCAAGCCCATTTTCCGCAGAAGTTTTTGGAAATCCTTGTGCTCCATGGCATCCTCGTTTTCTTCAGACAGTGGCACCAAAGGCACAGGCTGAGCGCATCCTGGTGAAAGAGGACCAAACGCTTTTCAAACTACATTTGGCTAATCACACTAAGAAAGAGTAGGAAAGAATTCTTGTCTATACGGTCTTGGATGGTATTTAGCTCCTGTCTATGGAAGGAAATGAAGGTTCAGCTCTGAGCCCCTTGCTCTCTCTGTGCCTGAATGAAATAAACACAAGGCAAAGAATACAGCCACGAAACCGGAGCTTTTCACCTTAAGAACACCCCTTCAGTCCCAGGCCCAATTCCCCCCCTTTTATTTACCATCCTCTTCTCGGTCTGTCGCTGTTCGGTTCAAGCAGTTCTGGAGCCACAGCAGGGGGCCAGAGAAACCTATGTGGACAGAAACAGGTAGAGAGATGAAGGGGCTTCTTCTCTTAATGGTCTCAAATCAGAGGCACATCTGGACCTCGACAATCCACAAGGAAGATGTAAGATGGTAAAACAGAAAGTCCTATTTCAGAACATGAAAGGACGAAAGAAGAACCTATATTGCAATACAGTGGTGCCTCGCCTAATTTTATGATTCTGCTGCAAACGAAAGCACTGGGGCTGCAGGGAAAGAAGTGGGCTAGAAAACCTTTTCCAGAAGTAGAGCTTTGCTGTTTGTGCGCACTATATTTTGAGATGATTGTGCGGAAAAATCCTACCTACAGATTGAAATGGTCATGTCTGTTCTGCCACCCCAACATGCTACAGGCTTGGAACAAGAGGAAGTGTGAGTCATGTTATCTCCAAAGCCTGAACTTGAAAAACTGTGAAAACATGCAAAATAGGGTTCTGGATAATCTTAGGATTCTCTCGATGCCACTGCTGATCCCCCTTTGTCTTGAAGAGAACGGCAAAAGACAAGAGCATTGGTTGCATTTACAGTCTACAATAGTTGGACCAGGTCAACGCTTGCCACAATGGCATGTGCGGTCATCAAGACCACCGTGAGATATTCTGCAGCTTTTTTTTTTGAAGGGGGGGGATTTCTCTAGCAAACCAATTGATGAGAGTAGAGTGGGAAACCATTGGGGGCATCGCTCTGCGATCGCATTAGTGATCGCAAAAGTGCCACCGTAGAGCGAATTCATTGCTCTACGGGGTGCTCGTTGTGTGAGGCACCACTGTATTCAGTAACATTACCTAGTTTTATGATTCTGCTGCAAACAAAAGCACTAGGGCTCCAGGGAAAGAAGTGGGCTAGAAAACCTTTTCCAGAAGTAGAGCTTTGCTGTTTGTGCGCACTATATTTTGAGATGATTGTGCGGAAAAATCCTACCTACAGATTGAAATGGTCATGTCTGTTCTGCCACCCCAACATGCTACAGGCTTGGAACAAGAGGAAGTGTGAGTCATGTTATCTCCAAAGCCTGAACTTGAAAAACTGTGAAAACATGCAAAATAGGGTTCTGGATAATCTTAGGATTCTCTCGATGCCACTGCTGATCCCCCTTTGTCTTGAAGAGAACGGCAAAAGACAAGAGCATTGGTTGCATTTACAGTCTACAATAGTTGGACCAGGTCAACGCTTGCCACAATGGCATGTGCGGTCATCAAGACCACCGTGAGATATTCTGCAGCTTTTTTTTTTGAAGGGGGGGGATTTCTCTAGCAAACCAATTGATGAGAGTGGGGAGATGATCCCTGAAGACAGAACATTCGAATTGCACCCAAGTCTTGTGCTCCTATGTCAGCATCAAGCAACTTAGTGCACTCTGGATATTTTAAACGACTCCCATGAGTCCCAGCTAGCATGGGCAGTATTCAGGGGCTTATGGGAGTTGATGTCTGAGTGGTGCGGAGGGCATCAGCCTGCTTGCCCCTGCAACAGAGAGGGCCACCGAGTATGATGATAAGACGCCAAAGTTCCCTCTCGGAGGGCTGCCGAACAGCCTTACCTTCCCGCCTCAGGCTTTCCACCAGGGCTTGCAAGTCTCCGTCTGTTGCAGCTCCCCGCTTTTTCTTCACCTGCCTGTCCAGGGACCTCTTGCCCACATCTTTATCCCTATTGCCCTGAGATGGCTCCTCCTCTTCCTCACTGTCCAGGTCCTCCTCCTCCTCCTCCTCCTCCTCCTCTACTTCTTCATCATCAACTTCATCCAAGTCAGCTATACCTAAGCCTTTGGAGAACATGTCCGTATTCTGAAAGACAAGAAGGTTTGCTACAGTACAATTGGCCACAACAGATACTCCTCCAGTGTCTTCATAGCAATCAAGTCCTCCTTTCACAGCCTCAACTCAATCTGGACCTAATAGTCCGGAGAGCGGCCTATCCCGCACACAATGCTGCCTCATGAGAGTAGTTCACAAATCCTCCATCCTGGCATATATTTTATTTGCAAACCACAGCTAGTTTTTTTAAAACTCTCCTTATATGTACAAAATATCCCTTACTCTCCCATCATCTCTTTGCCATCACTGTGACATGGGACAGCAGCAGCCATTTCAACCTGGGTAGAGAACTGAGGATTCGGAAGGCCTACAACCTCCCTCATCACCAATCATGGAGGCTGACGGGCAATGTCAGCCAAAACATCTGGAGGGCCCAGACTCCCCCCCCTCCCCCGTCTGTCCTTGCTGCTCCCGGGAATTACAAAGGGCCTACATTCTGCAGAGGGAAAGGAGGCGTCAGTCTGAACAGGAAAAAGTCTTGTCAGGGAAAAGGAACAGCAGAGAGTAAGAACATCAGGAACTCGGTGGAGCTGAAGGGCGAGAATAAAGATGAAGAGCAGTCCCTGTGGTCTACTCCTTCCTCATTCGCTGCCCCTCCGCTACAAAAAACAATAACGTGAAGGGACCAAACTAGTCCAGGGCACTGAAGGCCGTCAAAAGTTCCAGCGTACCCGGGTAGGCAGACGTACCCCTATAACCATTTTGGCACATCAACCTATGCACAACAGCCACACAGAGAGACACACGGAAGGAGGGCTGGGCACCATACCCCACCACAGGAGCCAGGCTTGCGCTTGCGCTTCTTGTAGAGCTCCTTACGGTCCGAAACGAGCCCCATGCTGAGCATCTTCTCAATAATGCGGGCCTTGGAGCGCTTCGCCGTGATGTGCTTCATCACATTGCCTAGGATATCTACCAAGAGGGAGAAACGAGGACAATGGTAGAGAGACTCCCAAAGGGAAAGATGAGGATAGAAGAGGTGGGACCAAGGAGGTGAATGACTCTGCGTGCGAAAAGGTTCTTGGAAATTAGCACTCGACAGAGGCAAACTTTCCACAAAGGAAGTTTATCCATGTGGCTCTAAAGGTTTCAGTCTTTGCTCCTCCATCGTGTCTCCACCCACCCACCCCGTCAGTCCAGCCACTGGGAAGAGCAGCCCTCTGATATCTGGCTGCAGGCTGGCGATCCTCCCGCCAGTCCAGTCTCACCATCCGTGGCCTGGAACTCCTCGAAGAGGCGCTGAAGCTCCAGCTCCTGCTCCTGCGTCCATAGCACAATGCGTGTTCCCTTCCTGTCAACAACAGAGTAGCACACTAGCAAGGAGGACGTTGACCTCCTCATGTCCCCAGCAAGCAAGGAAACAAGCAGAGGGAACCAAGATGCAAAAAAGAAAAAAAAAAGAATGAGATCCTCAGACAAGAACCATACCTGAATTCAAATCATAGAGGAAGAAAGGCATGATGGCACAGATACTGTAAAATTCTGCAATGCCCATCAATAGATCACATTCCAGAGCAAAGCACCCAAGGACTTCCTGTGCCAAGGAGGCAGGGCTTCCATGCCCTAAGGCAGGGGTGGGCAATTAATTTCTATTGGGGGGGGCACATAAAAAATCTGAACTGTGTTCAGGGGCCGAACCAACTTTACTTAAAAATAAAATGAAACAGTGATGTTATGATTGTTTTTATTTCAAACTTATTGATCTTCACAAATACTAAAGAGGTTTTTTGCAGTATGTTAAAGATAAGCAACTGATCAACTTTAGACAAAAAGCTATAAATGGTTTTGATGTTCAAAACTGTCCGCGGGCCAGACAGGAGCAGCTCACGGACCGTATATGGCCCTCGGGCTGCACTTTGCCCAGTTCTGCCCTAAGGAGACCTCATTTCCTCCCTACACCTACAGAAGCTAACTAAAATATTTTTCTTTTGCGCATATGCTTGCTTTGCGAGCTTTACACAAGTCACCAGAATGCACTCTCTTTTCAACATAAAATCTGCATCACCTAAGAGTATGGTTTTGATAAACACCTACTACAGGTATGTTAAACAGAGTGCATAGAAGCCTGATAAAATTTAAACTCCTTGGCTTGCTATTCTTACATGGTTACTCCAAAATTAAGTACTGCTAAAAGAAACGTATTCCTAAACGAATCTGCTTAGGGATGCAGCTCAAGTGAAAAACCAATCCAACTAAAGACCGAACAACTATTAACAAACACTATGCTAATTAACCATTCATACGGACTGTTCCTGATTTGTCACCAGAAATTCTGCACTCAGAACATTCCATTTCTGCTTTGAAACAAACTCCCCATATCAAAATGTACAATTATCTAACTGGGCAATATCTTCTTCAATATTTATGCACGTAGAACCCCAACTGTGGAGGCTGCCACAGTGATCTGTTGAGGTGCCAATGAGATATCCAGTTTTGCACAACCATGCCTTCTCAGATGGCTCCAGCAGCTTCTGCCTGTTGAGTGCTGCCTGTCTATATAAACCCAGGACAGGTTGTTACTGTCTTTCATAACCGAACCTTGCCAGCATAGAATTATAAGATGGAGGACAAGGATTCAACTTAAACTCAGCCAAGAAAGTACTGGGTGGTTTTCAGCATTCTATGATATCTCAGTCCATGTGCCCTTTCTGTAAGACAAGGATAATTACTGACAGACGTTTTAAGAGTTGCTGAGGTGTCCCTAATGCAAAGTGGAGAACGACAGGGATATACGCCTAGGGAAACATAACCATAAAGGGCACATCGGTGCTCTTTGAAAGCTGGAATTTTTGCAGATGGTTTCTGGGTATTTCCAAATAATTCACAACCACCAAAGATTGTATTAAATTTACTGTGGTGCAAGGAATGTTAAAAGATGTACCAGAACGTAAGAGGAATTTTGTACATCTAGAGCAGCCTACGAGAGACACCACATTCTTTCCTCTTGTGAACCCACCACCAGCCTCATCCAAAGCTATGGCTAGAATCTGCAGCACCCACAGCAAGCTTGCTACACCTTGGGGTTGGTCGAAAGGAGACCAGGCACTTTCTGCCCTTCAGAACAAGCCAGGGGCTTACCGTTCTCGAGGGAAGTCTCGGACGCGGTTGGCCAGTCCCAAGTGCACCAGCTGCTTGGCCACCTGCTTACGTGTCCGGTTGCGAGCGCTCAAGTGTGCCAGGATGTTGTTAAGGACATCTTCCCCTGATAGTGGAAAGTTGAGGAAGGAATGTGTGAGGAATGACTAGGCTAAGAGGAGCAGAAGAACTGGCTCTTTACCCTCTTCTAAAGGGGGAAAAAAGAAGAAGAGCAAGAAGAAGCTTCCCCACTTGAGCACCTGGCAGGCATCATGTTTTACTGGCTGACCTGGTGACATGAGTCTTGCATAGCCATCAAAAGAGCCAGCTTTGCTAATAGCTTGGGAAGCTGACTGGCCAGGTATTTGGAGGGTTCTCAACTTGCCACAGGCTGGAAGTCCTCCGCTTTTTCTGACTTTGGCCCACCATTAGCCATACTTGCAAATATGGAATGGAACTACATTGATTTTTTTAAAAACACATACGCCCACTTCCTCCTCTTTTCCTTAGGGTGACAATACATAAAAGTGGCCGCTATATACTTTTCTGAGAACTGCCTAAAAGTGGATTATTGCAGAAGAAGATTGCTGTGTCAGGGGGAAAGGGACCACACCTGATACCTTCTTCTCTGCAATTGCTAGAAAAATAAATAAATAAATGTACTGTTCTCCCTTCTTGTTTAGTCAGCTCCTTCTTCTCTCAGGTTACAGACAAAGCTGCTGTGGGAGTGATGGCTGGTAGATTCTACCTACCCCATTTCCCCTTGAAATTCATCTTCTCTCCCTCTTGAAATGGCAAGGAAAGAAGATTGTTTTACTCTTCCCTTTATGTCCACTCTCCCACATACACCTCTGGCCCCAGTATTCTCTTCTGAAATATCAGCATCTACAGTAGCTCTTAACCTCCCCCCAGACCAGAGAACAAAATGCAGGCATCCAATCTTGAGTCTTCGTTTCGCATTACTGGAAGCCTCCTCCTACTCTGTCTTCCAAATTGTACCCTTTCCCCCTGTGAAGTTTGGTACCTTCCACTTCCTTATACTTGTAATAGAGTTGCCGCAATTCCTCCTCCTCTTCCTCAGTCCACCGGGAGGCCTTGCAAGCGTCAGAGCTGTGTGAGGCAAAGAACGTCACAATCAGAAAAGTTCCTTGGATACAGGATCGCTCTTTAAGGGGGACGACAGGATACCATATAGGGCTACCTCACCAACTATTTTGTTTTAACATCTCTATGAAGCTGCCCATTTGAGAAGCTTTGGAGTGAGATGCCACCAACACAACAACCAGCTCTACCATTTTTATTTACTGGTTCCTCAACACCAAGGAAGCAGGCGGAAATGCTGCCTGAGCTTGGCAATGGGCTAGAGGAGGGTGAACAAGCTGAAACTAATGCCTGACAAGAGAGAAGTGCTTGCTGGTCAACAGAACATTAGATGGAGGAATTGGAATTCAGCCTGTTCTAGAAGAGGCTGCAGCCCTCGGACAAGCCACGTTTGTTGGTCTCTGCCTGAGCTTGGCAATGGGCTAGAGGAGAGTGAACAAGCTGAAACGAACTCCTGACAAGAGAGAGGTGCTTGCTGGTCAACAGAACATCAGATGGAAGAATTGGAATTCAGCCTGTTCTGGAAGAGGCTGCAGCCCTCAGATAGGCCAAGGGAATACGCCTTGACTCTGCAGTGTTCCCCCAGACTCCCAAAGTGGCAGCAGTGACCCAGGAATGCTTTTGCTCAACTCCTCTTCGTGCCCTTAGCTATAGCATTTCCTGAGTCAGCCTGACTTAACAACAATCATTATACGTAGGTCTTAAGTTAGACTGACTACTGCCATGCTCTCTATGTTGGGCTACCCTTGAAGAGGGTCCAGGACCTTCAGTGGGTGCAACGTGAGGCAAATTATGACCAGATGGCCCAATACTAAAAGATCTGCCCTTGTTGCCAGTTGCCCCTCAATGCCATGCTCTCTATGTTGGGCTACCCTTGAAGAGGGCCCAGGACCTTCAGTTGGTGCAATGTGAGGCAGATTAAGTAGTGCATGGCATTATGATCAGCTGGCCCAATACTAAAAGATCTGCCCTGGTTGCCAGTTGCCCTTATTCAAGGTGTTAATTTTAATCTTTAAACCTCTGAATAGCTTGGGGCCTGGCTATCTACAGGATTCTCTCTATGTTGGGCTACCCTTGAAGAGGGCCCAGGACCTTCAGTTGGTGCAATGTGAGGCAGATTAAGTAGTGCATGGCATTATGATCAGCTGGCCCAATACTAAAAGATCTGCCCTGGTTGCCAGTTGCCCTTATTCAAGGTGTTAATTTTAATCTTTAAACCTCTGAATAGCTTGGGGCCTGGCTATCTACAGGATTCCCTGTCTTGTTACAAGACTGTCCAGATGTTAAGGAAGATCTTCAGAAGAGGCCCTCTTAAGATTACCAACAGTCTCAGTGGCCTGTCTAACAAGAACATTGAAGGGGGTTTTCTCCTGTGTGGCTCCTAGACTTTAGAACAGTGGTCTCCAACCTTGGGCCTCCAGATGTTCTTGGACTACAACTCCCAGAAGCCTTCACCACCACCTCCGCTGGCCAGGATTTCTGGGAGTTGAAGTAAAAGAACATCTGGGGGCCCAAGGTTGGGGACCACTGCTTTAGAATATGCTCCCTTCACAGTTGTGATCTTTTCTCCTGTGTGGCTCCTAGACTTTAGAATATGCTCCATTCACAGTTGTGATCCGTTTCCATTCTGTCTGGTTTAAGAAGGCTTAAAAACACATCTTTTAAAACAGGCATAAGATATTCAATCTGCCCTGTTATGTTATTTTTCAACTGCATGCATAGCTGATTTCAATGACTTAAAACCAATTACATAGTTGGTTTTAATGGCAGGGGTTTTACTTGATTTTATGAGTTTTCTTAAAATTGGTCTACCTGTTTTTACTCTTCTACGAAGACTATAAACTGCTTTAAGTTCCACTTTTTAGTGCAAAGGCAGAGCATGACATAATAAAAATAATAATAATAAAGTAACATTTCTATAGACAGATAGAGTTACTGGTAGATCTGGGGAAATGGGCCTGTAGAATAAAAGATCCTTGATTTTACTTTTAAGAAGATTTCATTATCAGGTTTTCTTAAAATGTGGCTTTACATACACTTATTTGTTCTTATTTTTTTGTCTTAACAGCCTTCCAGAGGCATTTCTCCCAACTCCCATCATCTCTGACCACTGGCCACACCGGCTGGGCCTGGCGGGAAATGGGAGTTCTACAACATCTGGAAGACCTAAGCTGTCTCAGAGGTACGCTAGTTCTGGGATGCTCAGCATCCACCTGTGACCACCTGTAAACATATCCAAAGGGCCACTCCCAAAATTCACATCTGAAAGAGCTGACAGACAACTGGACTGTAATGGGAAAGGACAGAGATCAACACGGCTGTCTTTGAATCTTGCCTCAAGATTCAAAAGAGCAATATTCATTGCTCACAGGGTATAAAGGGCAACCCTAAATAGATGGGGGCCACTGAATGGTGTGCTACCGTCTTCTACTGCCAGTCTACAGAAAAAATGAGGCGGGGAGAGAGAGAGAACATGAGAAATAGCCATAATAATCTGAAGGTGTCAATTGGGGTCTTGGCCTGGTACATCATCCCCTGCTTTTCTTTGGATATAGCCCTCTAGAAAACTTGTTTGATCATGATTTCTGGAGCTTACCTTCCATCCTCCCGCAGTGAGGTATAGCCTTCTGTCATCTCACGTACTACAGCGGTGCTCTTCCAGAATAACAGTTCCATGAAGACCTTCTTGTTGGTGGAAGCTAAGGCAAAAAACTTGCCCACAATGTACTTGGCAAAGGTCACCAGCTCCTAGGGGTGGGGTCAAGATAGATTTTTTTTAAAGTCTGCAAAGGCTCAACCATCACTCCTGTAGAAAGATTTCATACCCCTTCAAACCTAAAAGGTAGTCCTATGACTCATCAGCTTGTGCAGACACATTAATTAAACAGAGCAATAATTAGCAGGATTTGTGGCTTAATCCACTGAAGACAGCAATGGTGAAATAAGCGAGTAGCCGTAGATGCTTAAAGCTAAGGCGACAGAGCACGTGAAGGTCTGAGGGGAAAAAAACAAAAACAAAATTCAAGAAGAGAGGGGATTGTAAGATATGAGGATGTGCCTTATAATAAGTTAAAGACAACTGTGCCACCTAATTAAGTATAGCTGCAGAGTTGTATTATATAGTTTGTGAGCAGCCTTAGGTCCCCTACAGGGAGAAGGGTAAGACAGCAATGGTGAAATAAGCGAGTAGCTGTAGATGCTTAAAGCTAACACAACAGAATATGTGAAGGTCTGAGAGGGAAAAAAACAAAAACAAAATTTGAGAAGAGGGGATTGGAAAATATGAGGATATGCCTTATAATAAGTTAAGACAACTATGGCAGTCACTGAGCTCTGCTACTTCAGGATAAATGGTGACACCAAAGACAGGGAGAAGGGTAGCATTATTCATTCATTCATTCATTCATTCATTCAATTTGTATCCCGCTCCCGTGTCACAGCACTAATCTGGGTGGGTTATAACTCATAAAATAGAAAATGAAAATAGAAATATTAAAACCAATAGCAATAAATAATATGAGCAAATAAATAAGTTGTTTGTTTCTGAGTGGCAGTCACCTGAGCTCTGCTACTTCAGGATAAATGGTGACACCAAAGAATATAAGGCCTAACACAGAAAAATAAAAGAGTTCTGCTACTGTGGCATGGCCTACTATTTAAACCAGAAAAATAAAAGCGTCCGTCCATCCTTCCTTCCTTCCTTCCTTCCTTCCTTCCACTTGAACCACCTCGACTCCTCTGCAACCACAGGCACTCATCCAACTGAGTCACTTGAATGTTTTTACACGGCCCTCCTCACCTTATAAGCTCCAGCAGTGGGGTCACTGAGGAGTCGGTTGAAGAGGCAGAAGACAGACAGTTGAAAGAACAGGCCCTCCATTTTGAGGTCATAAGCAATACGGTGCAACATCTTGACCACACAGTGGTTGGTGTGGGGGCTGTTCTGCTGGTAGTTCTTGAAGAGCAGGATATAGGCCTTGACTACATTAGCTGCAGCAAACCTATATGCCAGGACACAGACATGTTTACTTTAAGAGTAGGGCAAGACACCTAGAATCAGAATGCTGTGTGTACGTGTGCTCAGGTTCCTAAAAGAATTTTGGATTTGTTTTATTTTGTTCTGAGTTTCTAGCCCCATGATGGGCAAAGGGATAATGGGTATTAAAGAGAACAATAGGGCCTACAGTATATACAACATACAGGGAAAGGTGCCCCCTTGCAGCTTTTGTCCCGCTCCTGTGTATGTTGTATATAAGGGTTCCCTCATATCCGCCATTTCAGGCGCCTGCGGTAGATCAGGGAACCAATCCCCTGCAGATACGGGAGTCCTACTGTACTTGGAATGAGAATGCAAAAGGAGGGATTGTTTGTGAGACCTGAGGTAGTCAATGTGCATGAGCAATGCAAGACCAGAACAGGACAACCTTCTGACTCTTACCCACAGCCAAAATTCTCAAAATCTGCTTACCGCTTCACATAGTCCAGGAAATTAAACTCTTTTTCTGACACCTGTACAGGTGCCAACTCTTCCTCAGCAATTTCTTCTTCCTCAGCTGTTTCCTCGGGTTGATCCATCTCGGATGGTGCTTGCCCTGCGTACGTTGGAAAAAGCTAGCGTGAACACTAAAAAATAAGGCGACTGGTCCTATTCGGAGATCTCATAGTCTTTGCTGACATTGGAAGGGGAGACAGATTGTGGTTGAAATCCTATTGTGTATCATTTTTAAAAATTGATAATTTTCAGTCCATTCCTAACTGGAAAATTAAAAGTTCCCACTGTGATTCTCAAAGGCTGCATGCAGACAACAGGATTTAAGCCTGTGCATTAAAATGCATCCCGTTTTAAAGCATATAAAATGTTGGCACTGTTAATTCACGGCTGTCTTTTGTGGTTGGTCCATTTCTGTGGAACGCCTAATTCACGTCTGTTGCCCTCCCTTTTCTTATCTTTTCTTTTTTAAGGCAGAGCTTACATCAAACTGACTTCATAATTAAAAGAAGGGAGGCTGAATTCTTTTAGTTGTTATTTGCATTCTTATTTTTTATAGTTTTTAGAAGTTTATTAGGATTGCAGGTTTAGTTTAAAAGCTTAAAAACTGTTGGTTTGAAAACATGTTTTATTGTAACTCTGTCACCCTGGTTAAAAACTATTTTCAAAAGGCAACGTCTTGAAAAAAGTAAAACTGTTTCTGTCAACATAGGGAAACACCACAGATGGTGGAAGCAGTGAAAAGACACCTAGAAGTCCCCATTATTTGGCTTTGTTGTAGTCTAGGTCTTTGTGTGCCTACAGGTGTCTTCAGCATACATGTGTTGCCACAGACCTCGTTAAATGGAAAGAGTGGCTGACCAGCATAGACACAACACAAATTGGGCTCCAGTTTCATGGGAAAAACATGAGCACACCAACACCCATATGCTTCTGTGGGAGGGGGGGGAGGGAGAATTTAGTTCCGTTGTAGAGGCATGTTTAGTTAGTTCTGTTAGAAGCAGTCAGTTTGATGAGAGAAAGTTTTGTATTGGATTAGAGTGAAATCTCAACCTAAGAATGAGAAGTATGAGATAGTTAAAACTTGTGTTGTGAAGTCTGCTTTGAAGGGGAAAGTATAGAAGTAAAGCATGTTTTGCTAGAGACAGTGTCAAATCCAGCATCTACTTATAAAGAATTCTGCTTAAACTAAAAAGAAAGGACAAAAGAAAGTAAATGAGGTCTCAGTTGTATAAGAACATAATAGGTCAAAATACTGATTTCTATTATTTTTTAAAGAATAAAACTTCTTTTTCATTGTATAAATCCTTTCTGTTATTTCCAAAAGCAGCAGTTGCAAGATATGATCCTATGTATATACCCTTAGCCTGCACAGGAACACATTTTCAAAGTTCTGTCACCAAAACAACATAGAGCCTTGTTCTTAACTCTTGGAGGGGGGAAGGGGGGAGAGTGTAAATTAAGTCCTTAGCCATGGCAGAGTTTCACCAGCATCTGAACAGGAACACTTGCTCTTTGTCTGTTTTGGTTAAAGGACTCCCTATTACCAGTTAAATGGCAACCCCAAGCTGAGTGCAGGGGTTGGGGGTGGTTATTTGGTAATGGCATGCACGGGATAGAGAGAGAGAGAGAAAGGTGGGATTAAACACCTGTCTTAAACCAACACAAAAGGTATGTCTAGAAGGGCCCTGGGACTGCTCCTTCCCCTCAACGTTTCTATGCCATTCGATGCCAGAAAGGGAGACTGGATACTCACGAGGGAGACTGGCAAAGAAGATCTGTTTCAGCAGCTCAGCTTCTTCACCTGGCTCAAGGTTGGGTGACCCAAAAACATCTCCTTCTGGCCAAACCTCCCTTAAGGAACAAAATTAAGATGGGACGATCAGCTGGGCCCAACAGGCAGAACAGGGTAAGACTTCCCTCACCCCTCCCAACATCAAGCACTGGAAGCACTATTTTGCATACTCGCCCACAAACACACACAGAGCCCAATAGCAAAAGTCCACCAAATACCAGTCCTCGTCTCATATACACATGAGGCTCAAATGGGCTTTATGAATATATATATTTAGAAAACAAGTACATATCCTCTGGATAAAACTGATGAAAATATGCAGTATTACGCAAATAAATCTATCTGTATGAAGCTTGTGGTCTTTCCCTAACTTTAATGTGGTGGTGGCGATAATAGGTGAGATGGCACACTGCTTATCCTCACATTAACCTTTGTCTAAGCCTTTTATTCCTTCGCCTGGACTGGAATTTAAATTGCACATCTCTGGAGGATGTGCATGGATGGTGTACTATTTGCCAAAGACAAGGTCACATGGGCCACAGCCCTGGATCTTTGGAACTGGCCCTTCAGATTAACATTTGATAATGTATCAGGCAAAAGCAAAATAAAAAAAGTAAGACAGAAACATGACACCTTAAAGACTAACTGCTATATTTTAATGAGCTTTTATGGACAAGTCCACTTCCTCAGACACTTGTCCAGAAATGCTCATATAAAAATATAGAAGTCAGTTTTTAAGGTGCCATAACGTTTTTGTCTTCCTTATTTTATATTTTGCTTTTGCCTTTGCTTGATATGCCAGGATGGACCAACGTGGCTACCTCTTCTAAAACTACAACTTTTGAGAGTAATATCTGTTTGGTAAATGAGTCAACGAAAACAGTTTTTACATTTTTAAAATAAAACACTCCACTGTCCCTGACACTTCCTTTACTTCCAAGTCTCTGATGCACACTGAGGGGCTTCCGTCAAATCCATCCATGAAAGCAGGATGGACAAAAAGTTGCCGCCAGGCAGTGTCACTGCTGTTGGGAGTGTTGTCCTGCCTCCATCCACTAAGAAGGTACCTGTGTCAAGTCCCAGGCTCAGACAGTCCGTACAGACAAGTTGTGCACCATGACAGAAATGTAAATGCCTGGCCATTTTAATCCATAAACTGTCAGGGCAGAGATACACCCCTAAACATGATTTTCTACCTTGCTGAGCGCAAGAGGGATAAGGCTTCGAGTGCCCGGTCAGCCAGCAGGTTGTCCTGGATCCGTATCATGGCCTCGGCTCGCTGCTCCTCCATCGGAACCTCGGATGCCGCATCAAAGGGAACAACGTCTTCCGGGAGAGGCTCTGAAGCCTGGCCAAGGAAAGACAACAACACTGGGTGAAAAGGTATAGCAAAAGAAAGGCAAGCTCAGCACAAGAGCACCGTTTCAGCCTTGTTGACCTAGAGGACATTTGCAGAAAAGTCAACATGCTAAACATCACACCACTGGGCGAGAGTATCAGACTGAAATGGAGACCATTTCTATGGCAGAACATGTTGGGTTTGCTAATGTAAAAATCACTCAAGGGAGGAAAGGTCAAGGCTTGTCTTTGCCTAATGCAAAGCTGCAGCTGAAGACTGAAAAATACAAAAAAATGTGGTGAATGATCTTATTGTCTGTACAACACTATGCATGAACTTCTATAGAGCTTCTAAGGCTAGGAGTGAAACTTGGGGACAGAGCATGTGCTTTGCATGCAGGAAGCCAATGCGCTGTCTCTAAGGAGGTGTGGAAAGAAGCCAGCAGCCGCATGCATCCCTCCCCCCCGGGGACCTTTTTGGGTGACCCCACAGTTCCTGCTGGAACCCTTCCTTTGCCACTGCTGTAGCTCAGTGCTAGAGGGACAAGTGGCCTGACCCGGCACCCAAGGTAGGTCTTACGACACAGAAAAGAGAAGTTACTTACCTGTAACCATGGTTCTGCAAGTGGTGCTCTGTGAATCCACACAACTGAGTTGTTCTCTGCCTGTGCAGGACCTCTCGGAGGTTTCTAGAGCTTAAAGACATGTGGCTAGTGGGACATTCCCCCATGGAGCGCATGCTCCACCCGCCAGAGACCTCCTCAGTTCCCATAAGTCGGACGCTATCAGAAAGTAGATTGAGACGACAACGTGACGGACAGAGGGGAGGCAGGGCGGGATGTGTAGATTCACAGAGGACCACTAGAAGAACCATGGTTACAGCTAAGTAACCTCTCTTTCTTCTTCGTGGTCTCTGTGAATGCACACGGGTGGGTGACTAACAAGTCCGCCAGAGACCTCCTCAGTTCCCATAAGTCGGACGCTATCAGAAAGTAGATTGAGACGACAACGTGACGGACAGAGGGGAGGCAGGGCGGGATGTGTAGATTCACAGAGGACCACTAGAAGAACCATGGTTACAGCTAAGTAACCTCTCTTTCTTCTTCGTGGTCTCTGTGAATGCACACGGGTGGGTGACTAACAAGTTCACTTACCTCTTCTTCGTGGTCTCTGTGAATGCACGCAGGTGGGTGACTAACAAGCTCACTTACCAGTCGGTGGGACGTCACTGAAGTAAGGTAGTACAGCTCGGCCAAAGGCTGCATCACTCTTTGCTTGAACGTCCAGACAGTAATGGGAAACACAGGTCGATGGAGTAGACCAGTGGTCAGGGAACAGGGGTAAGTTACCCCAAATGGGGTAAAAATGAAAATCCTGGGGGTAACGAGGACACGACCTTAACCCCCCTCCCTCTTCCTCCTCTTCTGCCAGGAGGGGGTGTCCCTG